TTTTATCTATCATCATCTTTGCTGTTTAACCATTTTTTTTGCTGATATGAGATGGTGCTAAAACGTCCTTAGCCCGACTCTCCCAAATCTGACCAAACAAAACTTATTTTCAATTCCCTTTTCTATTCAGGCTGAGAATTTTTCAGCACTCGCATATATTTTTTGGCCCTCATAAAGTGAATGTCACAACCAATGGTCTTTAGAAGTTGCCTTCACCCCACTTTTCTCACCACCACCACCAGTTAACGAGGTCATAGAACCATGTGACAATATACACGAGAGAAAGGCCAAAAGACATATTGTCTGAAATACTTAAGTATTAAACACAACAAAGATGGGGAAACAAATCTGAAAGATTTATGGAATAATAAAATTAATTCCTATTCATAACTCAAGAAGTGATTATTTCAACCTTATGAACCATTGTCAAAAGGATTCATTAAGAATTGTTAAACCAAGTGAAATTTAAAGAAAGAATCCACAACTGTTGCTATTTAAACAAATAAAAGAAAATTGTTTTAGTTGCTTGGGAGGGTCTGCCATATTCTATTATTTGAATTGAAAACTGAATTCTTTATTTGATCCAAAGCATTACACAAATCTCAAATCTTCAACCAAATTGAATGTCTTTTCTAAGGAATTTCACAAATAAGGGGCAATTCTCCTCAAAAATACTTGTCATGCTGTGTTGATATCTATACATGGTCTACTGATTGGATGAATCTAGAATAGCATGTATACTGCTTCTTTTAATGGTCATATTTTCTGGTGTTCGATCTAAAATATATGGCACAGAAGTCAAAATATTGTGATAAAGCACTTCTCAGAAATTCAGATTATAAAAGTTCATTCTCTACTGGATAATCACAAAATTTAATGTCCTTCAGAAAAATTGATTTTATAAAGAACAAATATTTTATCTTAAATGTGTTATTAATTAAAAAGTAAATATGAAAATGAAAATACATTTTTTTAAAAAAGAAATTATGGAATAGAAAATCAAAAATTCTGCTATGTGGTGTGATGTCATCAATGATTTTTACTGTGTTTAAAAAATCATCTTAAATTTCCATTGCATATTTTTTAAAGTTTTCAAATTAATTTTTGCTCAATTTTAAAATTCAATTCTAATATTACCAGGGATGAGAAAACCATGTCTCCATTCTTGGTAAGGTTATTGCTTCGGTATTGACGATCACCACTCAGGGAAAGCAACACATTGGACAAAGACTGATCAGATTCATCAACAACCTGAAGAGAGGAGAGAAAAAACAAAAAACACATGTACATATCAAAAAACTAATTGTTCAAATGACTTATTATATAACATGCAGAACTTTCTAAAGAAATATGTCAAAACTTTCATTCACTCTAATGATTACATACATAATGAAATAGTACATACTAAAAGGTAACCAGGCAATAAAATTTCAGTAGTGCAATTTTTCCAGTTGTGAATATAAAATAATGGTACAATTTGAAAATACTTATAGAAAAATAATTAAGCAAAATATTAATTCGAATTAACATGGATAAAAAAAAAAAAAAAAAAAAAAAAAAAAAAAAAAAATCTATATTTTGGTTTCCCTTCAAAGAAAAGTTAGTAATTTTTTTTTTTTTTTTTTTTTAAATCATTTCACCCCAAACAGAGTGATAAAGCAACTAAGGCACACCAGTTTAAGTGAGAGAGAAAGAAAGTGAGAAAACATTGAGGAGAGAGGATATTAGGACAGAAATTAAGACAGAAGATAATGATTGAATTTGCATTTAAATTTCTGTATAATAAAAATTCTTTCACACAACACAATGAATCAAGTTTCCTGGCAGCAGACCTAGAAATTAATTCAATATAAAGTCAGTGGAAAACATTAGATTGAGAAAACACAATGAATTATAGCCCAGTCATGGACAATGAGAGTCTTGGCACAACAATGATGGATGGTCACATGGATTTGAATAAATAAAATTCCAAAAGTCATTAATATTTTAATAGTGAAATCTGAGGATTTTAAGTAACAATTTTGTTCAGGCAAATTTTAACACTCACTCAACCTGTTGCAAACCAGAAAAAATGATTTAAAAATGTTGGGAGTGATACTGTCAGTCAAGTGGCCAGAAATTAAGATGAGCATCAATGAGAAGGTTATCATAATTCAATAGAATTTTTTTCTTAAATACATCAAGCTGAAACATTTTTCTAATTTACTAATTATGAGAATAATTCTAATATTACTAAGTGAAACTTGCCAAATCCTGTCAAATAGCCTCTAAATACATGAAAGATCTTTGTTCTCAGAGAAAAAAATTTACAGCAACTCTTCATATGAATTTATATGCCTAAAATTTGATAGCTTTTTAATACTTTGGCAGGCAACTCAGGCAGTAGTTTTATGAGAATATACGTATTGTCAGGTCCCAAATGACATATCAGGACAGACCAAAATAAGATTTTTACAACAATTATGCTTCATAAATAATATAAACTAAATTTTTATTTTCTAAACTAATTGTAATACAACAAATGAGACCCTGTGGAAAAAGGCATTTACTGTTTTGTATTTAATGCATAAAATCACTTTTTAAACACAAAGGATTAATAAAAAGACAATCTTCAGTGAACACACAAAGCAATAGACAGTGTTCAAATTCTGATCAAAATATGAGTTGTCAATGTAATTATAGGAAAGAGAATCAGCTTTAATTAGTCTACTCATCCCATAATTTTCAAGAAAATAGCAACAAAATTAACTGCTATAGCCATTATAAGTTCAATACAATTTTTGTTAGTCTTAATCTCTCTTTGTTCATTATCTAGATTTATATAAAACCCTGTCTATGTTTTTCATTTGAGATAAACTTCACCTGAAACATTATTGAAGTTACTTATTAAACCATATTTTTATTGGCATAATTACAGTAAAATGTCAATAAAACTTGTGCCCATTCATCTCTACAGATGAATTATTTTTAGGCTTTAATAAAGTCTGAAGGTTTACACATGTAACTTATTGGATAACATATTAAAGTTCAGGCACGTTAACTTATGATTTTTATTCTTTCTAGCTTAAGTCCCAATGTTATATTGTTTTAAAGACATTTTTATTGAGTCATAGATATTGTAAATAAGAGATGCATAGGATGTAGCCCACTGAACTTAGTTGTCATCATTCAATTGAAAATAAATATGTAGAATAAGAAAACCAAATCAATTACCTGAACAGCAATTTCTCCCAGTTTGAGAGCCTTAAAATTCATTGGATTATTAGGGTCTTTGGTAAGAACAAACCCCACTTTGGCTGCTTCTACATTGTACTTTTTATCACTGTGAAGAGGTCCAAGACTGTGGGAAGAAGAAGAAAAAAGAAATGGAGAAAATATAGACTTTTAAAAATGAAATTCTTAGGTCCAATCTCAGAATTTTTTGTTCTTAATCTATAATTGGAAATAAAAATGCTGCTATTCTATAACCTGGGATTTATTTAGAAGAATTTGTTCTTCACACTTATAAATGAATGGTATCAAATAAGCCTATTGTAGTTGAGGATGCATTCACTCCAATCCTTTCAAGTATTTGGGTAACTATTTTTCATCTGTCCAGCAGAGCATGAGAGATTTTTCATTCTAGGGAAGTGAAATCAATTTAAGACTTATTTGCTTTGTGTGTGAATATAGAAAAAGAAGAAAATTAAAAATAACAAAATAACTCTAGAACCAGAGTAAATGGCTTCAAAGTAACGACAGAATTAACTGAAGTTGCTTTGTTGCAATAAAAGAAAAAAAATGATACTATTATTCTGCTTATCTGTATGATCCTTGTACCTTTTTTTATGTAGGATCAGAGTACAGTATCTGCCTAGCCTTTCTGAGGTTCCTGACTGAGAAACTTATAATCATAATACTGATAGTAAGAGGAAATTGGGAAAAGTGAGGATAAATAAGAAAGCAGATGGAAGAGAGAGAGAGAAATAGGATGGAAATATACGGGGTGGAGGGGAAAGGTAGAGAAAAATATAAAGCCAGGTGAAAGGAAAAAAATATGCAGAGTGCACCAAATATTTGAGAACATTTTTAACAAGCCCTAAATAGAAAACCATTTAATATAATGTTACACAGAATGTGCCAAATTTTAACATTCTCATTGAGTCATTAAAAACAAGAATGTAGCAGCTATGCACACCAAATCCACATCATCTGTGATTGTACTGGAGGTTGTGAGCAACAAAAAGTTATCACGCCACTCAACTCTTTCCCCACAAAGCCTCAGGGATAAAAAAAAACAAAAAAAAACACCATCTACATTGAGGAGTTAATCATGGTGATCAAGCTCTAGATTGCGGGGTTGGCTATACATGTTCCAGCAGGACTCAGCTCCCATATAGACCATGTAACCTAGAAATGGCTGGCCACAAATTTACATGATCATCTCACCTCCAACATATGAGGTTTGAGCCCTCCCAAGTTGGATCTCCTAGATTGTCACATCTTGGATATCATTAAGGAAGCAACATATGACCCCACACTATCAAAGACTCAACTGAAGGCTGCCCAACATGAATGAGAACACACAATCTGAGCATACAGTAGCTTCCAAAGCAGCACAAATTATTTTCAAAAGGTTGAGGAGAGTTTTGAACAAAGTTTTCTAAGTTGACTATGTTTACAAATTCTTTTGGAAATATACAGATACTTTTTTTCTATTGAATAACTGTATGGATGTTCTTTATAGTAAAATTTGTCCACAATTATCTGGCATATATAATAGAAAAAAGAATGGAAATGAATGAAAAACATAAAAATTCAAACTTGTTGGATATCAGGAGTAAATAAACAAAAGTTTAAAAGATAGGTTGGGATTGAAAGGCATAAAACCTACAAAACATTAAAATTCTTCAGGGAGAAATAGAGCAAAAGAAAGATCAGAGAGATGATGCAGTAGAAAATATTTATGTATTCTTTATTTCTTATTTTGTATAAGAAATTCGTTTTTGTAAAACATTTAGATAAAAACAAGGAGAGTCAATGAAGGTAAGAAGGGATAAGGGTTACAATGAGAAGATACAGGTAAAAGATATGATAAAAGCGTTGCATGGCAAATACATAAAAAGAATGAAAGAAGCAAATGTGAACCAACAGAAAACACATCAGTGGCTGAGGAGCACCAGGTTGAAAGCTGAGACAGAAGGCCTAATTATTGTAGCTCAGGACCAAAGACTCACAACCAAATCCTATCGTCATATAATCAAGGATGGAACTAACCCAAAATGCAGGATCTATGGAAAATGATCATGAAACTGTTGACCATATTATCTCAGGATGTCTGGAACTGGTAAAAAATGAATATACCCACAAACATAACATGGTAGTGACATATGTGCACTGGAAGATATGCAAGAAGCACAAAACTGAAACCAGTGAGAGATGGTATGACCATCAACCAGACGCAGTTACCCAAAATAACGATGTAACTATCCTCTGGGACATGTCAATTCAAACTTACAGAGAAATAAAAACCAACAGACCTGATATTATCATAAAAGACAAGAAATTCAGGAAGTGTATGCTTATTGACATAGCAGTACCATCTGAGAGAAACACTTCCATAAAAAATATAAAGAAATTGTTCAAATACAAGGACGCAGAGGTCAAGATTAACAGGATGTGGGAAATGAAGATGGAGACTGTACGTATTGTAATCAGAGATCTGGGCTTTGTGAGAAAAGGAATGGACAATTTTACTAAGAGTGTCCCAGGTAACATCAACATGCAAATTGCCCAGAAGATCGCCCTACTAAGAACATCCCATATACTAAGAAAAGTGCAAACAATTAAATGACAATTCTCCTATAGGGCCTAAGGACCATAGTTTGGACCTGGCTCTATAGGATACAAAGCAGGAAACATAACATACACAAATAATAATAATAATAATAATAAACCCTTTAGCCTTGTTTGAATAGAGCAGTAGTTTTCAACCTGAGTATCAGTGGGTGACAGACATAGCTGAGAGGAGTGTTAAACATCATACTTATTAGAAAACCCAGGTTGTGTGTGTGTGTGTGTTCGTTTATATATTGGATCGGATTTCCTACATTTTTCAACAGATTTCAACAAAACTTCACAGGACTACGTAAAATTACCTTGCGGTCGTTCTGACAGCACCAAAAATTGGAAAAAATAATTTTTTTTGCATGAAATCAATTTGAAATCACAATTAACAGGCATCGCTATCGCGTGAATGAAAGGGGGACAACTCATATCGAGTTATTCTTATTATAAAACCCAGGTTGTGTGTGTGTGTGTTCGTTTCTATATGGGATCGGATTTCCTACATTTTTCAACCGATTTCAACAAAACTTCACTTTTTTTTTTTGGCAGGTAGTGTTTCTTATTGTCTTGCACACTTTTTTCTTTATTTTTACATTCAGAATGCTTTAAAAATTCCATTTACACGACAATTGTTTATAATAAAATTCTATTCAATCGGTAGACTCATAACGATTGAAAACAATGTTTTTTTTGAGTTTGACCAATTTGTAAAAAAAAAAAAAAAAAAAAAAAACTAATTAAGACATGTGTGTCCGTCAACCTTAAACAATAATCTTTGTCAATTTTATTTTTCAGTCTTTATGATGGTCGATACTTGATCTATCTGTTACTGTTACATCCCTGGGCAATGCCGGGCTCTACTGCTAGTTTCTTATAAAAGACAACTGAAAAGGTAAATGCTATGGATGTATGACTATAGAAATATAACAAATAATAAAAATGAAAGACTCCTTAAAGGTATAATTGATCTTTGAAGCATGTAGCAAACACTCATTTGAACTTAGAGGGCGTTGCATTGTGTACTATTTACCAAATTTAACATTGTTGAAAATATGCAAGCCAGTTATGGCATATGAAAACACAAAAAGGAAATCTACACTATAACATCTATATGGCTCATGCAAGCCAAAGTATATTTTTAAGCTTTCTCCCCAGCATAATTATAACATAGCATTCAGCTTTATGAGGACTCGGACTGTTCTTTTATCATATTTTATTAAACTGCAAGATAAACAAATGAGAGGCAGATGTGTTTTTATTTTAACAGTTTAATACTTTTGCTGATGATGATGATAATACTTTTGCTGATGATGAGGAGGATAACAAATAAATTATGATTATTCAAAACTTACCGATAGACTCCATTCTCATCGGTCTCCAAAGTAACTGGTTCCATAGCAGCGTTATCAGGACTAGAGACTGTGACTTGGACACCAGACAATGATGGTTCTATTTTCCCAGTGATAAAAATACCAACTTTGCCAGTAAAATGGGCTAATTCTCCTGGACAACTCTCTGAGGAAAGATGTGCGAAAAAGAAAAAACAATTTTCATTTTTTTTTATTCTGTTTATAGAGAGTTTTTTTTTTTTTTTGACATTTCCATGAAGAAAAAAGATTAATCCTTTGGTTGCACAAACACACATATATATATATATATATATATATATATATATATATATATATATATATATATATATATTATATATGCATTTCATTCTTTATGTTTCATTTTTAGTACTTCATTGGAATAAATTTGTAATGAAGTCCTAAAGGACGAAACACATCACACAAAAACTTTTCCCACAATATTGTTCTTAACATATATGTGTGTGTGTGCGTATATATGTAAATATCCTAAATTGTCCATTATCCTGGATTCCTAACAGACCTCAAATTTTACAGAGTGCCTTCAAGTTTTTCCTGTTCAAATCTAAAAATATTGGTACACAAAAAATATTCTAGTAGTAAAGTCAGAAATTCACTAAGTTTAAGTAGAGGAAGTAATTGTCAGGAGAATGTCAGCACCTATGTCTTCACAAAACTAAACATTCCAAGTGAAATGAACCACTGATTTCTTTAAGAAGTCAACTTAGGCAAAAGTGATGAGAATGCAATTGATTCTTACCTAGGAAAAGAATAAGAGAAAAAGATCATTAGTTTGAAAGTGGTGAAAAAAATGTTCAGAAATATTGCAAAGTATTCTAAGGATATTTCACAAAAAATGAATTTGTTAAATATAAGTTTTCTGTTTTGCTTTCAATCTCAAATGTTATTTGCTAAAACAATTCTTAAATGCAATCATTGCTAATCTACAATTTTGTTTGGCAATAAATCAGAGACTAATCCCATTATTCAGTTACTATTCGTACAAATAGCTTTTTTTCTATTTTTTGTTTAACACATTTTGACCACTTTGTTCTGCAAATCCTTATTGCATTAAGTTGTCTTAAGGGATCTGTCTTATTTGTTTTTCTTTCCATTCAATGATCATAATGTACTTGCAATGATTAAACAAAATTTCTTTATATTTCTTTTTTTCTTACAAAAATGAATGATTAGACTTAACTTATAGAGACCATGACTTGGATGTCTTGAGAAATAAACAAATATGTTTCCTTTTCAACAAGAACACCAGTCATGGAACCAAATGCCAAGTTTTATGTCAGCAGCAGACCTTTCAGATCAGACATATCAAATGTCAAAAGCAGCAGTCTTAAAACAGAACTGAATGCCAAAGTTTTACACTAGTGGGAAAATGAAGCCAAAAAATATTTTGCTTTTCTTCTACTTGAAATTTTTACTTTTGTAGACATGGGTGTTGGCCATTTTGTTTTCACACTGTCAATCACTGTCTATCAAAATAGTTTTTAAACTTTACTAGGATAAATTTGTAAAGACACTAAACAATGTCAATTCAAAAGACTAACAATAAGAAAAAAAAGAAGTTCAGAAACTAAGAAAGTTTTCTATCCCATAATTCACATTCTTATTTTTTCTATTTCACAAAACTGTCATCTTCATTATTATTTTAATATTAAAGATTTCAAAATGTTTTTAGAAAATGTAAAAATACCTACAAATTTATAAATATTGGTAACATTTTCTTTTTATATACAAAAGTAAAAAGAACAATATAAATGGGGGGATAAAATTTTTTTCAGACCAACCAAGATATCTTTGCTTTTGGAAAGTGAATCATGTCAAGAATTTTTTAGCACCTCCTTATAGTAACAAGTAGACGTTTTCACATTGCAGAAAGTCCTTTTATCTTACCTATACATCTAACTCCAATGAAACACAAAACCTTGGACTGGGTAAACAACACTGATAACTAATAAATGAGAAAAGTAATTAAAATGAAAAAAAAAAAAAAAAACTACAAATCTAAAACTTTTAACTTGCTAGCTTTATTTATCTACAGACATCTTCCCCTTATCAAAACAATAAGACAATGGATATTTTTTTTTGTATTATAGATTTTGGTCATTCTAAATTCGTGATTTTTATTAAACTAGATGCTTATTGTTGAACACAAAATCTTACAAAAATAACATTAGTACAAATTACTTGGAGAGCTTTACTGGGAGGTAAAAAATTTAATTTAAGCATTGATTATTACAAATTAGTTGTTTATGTAATCCGATATCATGTGTAGGATTTTTTTAAATAAAACTTCCACTCTAAATTACACACACACACACTGCTTAGTAAATAAATAAAAACAGAGCATCCACTCAGATATGACTAGATATTAAAAATAATGTTGGATTAATAAGTATGTGTGTGAAATTATTTCAGATAGATTGTCAGATATTTCTTGAATATTACTCATTTACTTTAATCTTACCAGACATTGAATTATGGCACTTTATGCCCTCTACATGTTTTGACTGACCTTTTATTGACCTGATGAATATTCATGAACGTTCTCAAATTTGAAGCTTTGATAAACTAATGACATCCTTGCTCTTGTAAATAAACACATGCAACAAAATAAATCCTTAATAAGGATGAAATGTGTTGACTAAGAATAGTCTTTCCTCTTTTATATATATAAATGAGGTTTATCACTTAGCTGATTCATGTTACCTTCAGCATCCCAACTCCAGAGTTTCATCGACAGGTCTGTCTGTCCACTCATCAGGGAGGTATCAGCAATTGACTGCTTATATTTCTTGATTTTTTTTATATACATACACACAAAGATGGTGCTGAAAGGTTTTTGGACTAACCTAATCTACTCTTCAAAAAAATACATGGAGAAAAAAAAAAAAAAAAATCCCTCCTTTGTTGGATTGAGCACCTGAACATTAGTCGAATGGAAAATTCCAGGAACACAGGTAGTTTTTTTTTTTTTTTTTTTCCATAGATAATGGTAATCCTTCAAATAAAATAGATTATATATGCAAAGTTTATCTCAGAGGTCAAAAGGGATCATCAGAAGCACAGCATTTTTAACCAAATTATGCAACTGAGCAAAATGGAGTGAAATATCGATTTTTCTATGAATACAATTTTTTTTTTTTTTTTAAAATCCTAACTAGCAGCATGGATAAAGTCAAATTCAACTTCCAATGTAATTAAAGGTAAAATTAGTTTGTTGCATATATGATCTGCTCTGTATCCAAATAATTACACTTTTAGAGATGTGTACTGATTTCTGGGAGAAATGAAAGTGTAATCTGGGTTGTATTTTTTGTCATACTGACTGCATGAATTTGGTATTAAGTCATCAGCTCAGTTTTTCTTCACTGACCACTGATTTTGTCAATACTTCATTTATTCATTTTGTGCACTAACAAATTATGACTGTATAAAATTCATTAAAATTTAGCATAAATAGAAATTGTTAGGGATCAAAAATTAATATAAGCATTATTTATTATTATGTATAATAAATCAGACAATTTTAAGTAGATATTTATATACTAGACTTAAATCAATGTTATCCCTCATGATAGTTAGAAATACAAACTTGGAACAGAGATGACTTTACATACTGAGTTTTGTACTTGTAAAATCTGCAATAATCTCAAAATAAAAGTTACTTGGTTTTTAATGAGAAAAAAGGAGACCAATGTATTATAAACAAAATAACCTAACCTCCATGCACTGTAACATCAACTTGATTTGGTGAAAACAACAATTGTTCTGATAAAACCTTAATTTCAAGTCGCTCGTTGCTTCTGAAAAAAAGAAAAGAAAAAAAAAAAAAAAAAAAATTCAAATTTCAACATGTCAACAACAAAACCAAACACTTCAGAAATCCAATGACACAAAGGTTAAAAGGTCTGTTCATCTTGATTTGTCAAACTTGTCTGGTAACTTTCCACTCCCCAAAGTTGTTTATGGTTTAAAAAAAAAACATTTTGGATTTAATGAAGTCTTCAAACATAAACCTTTAGGTTAATAGTTAGATCCTCACTCCCACCCCCAATTCACAGCAATGTATTGTCATAAATGTAGAAAAGAACATTACAGTCAAAAAGAAAGAAAGAAAATATGAAGATCTTTACTTTGTTTTTATAGCTGAGAAAAAAAAAAAGAATATAAAACAATATTGTATTTCCCAGCATTCAAGATGCATTCCTCATTATGACAGTGGAAGAGAGGGTGACAGAGTGTTTTTATTGTTGTCATCATTATGGGCATATAGAAACTCTTTAGTTAAGAGAAATGTTAATATACCTGAAATTTTAAACAGATACTAATTTCTAAAAAGTCTTTTCATTAATTGATGAAATACAACACTAATCATATAATTTAGAAGAAATATTTTTTCTTAACGGCATAATTATCAATTATTTGGTCAACATTTTTCCTACAGTTAAGATACTTTAAATATTTAGTATTGTCATACACAATTGTATTGTTTGACCCATTGTATTCTTCAGGTCTTCATTTGCTTGAGATCACCTGGAGTGACCCACAAAAAATGTTCTAGTAGAAATGGTTCCAAAGACAGCAGTGATTTTGTTGAAGACTAGCTGTAAGTCATGAAACTACTTCTTCAACAACACCAGCTTAAGTTGCTTATGAATCTGACAGATTTGTATGACTCATGGCAAAATTTGTGTAAAATGCCCTTTCTACACTTTGCAAATCCAAAACAACACAATAATGTAATACAACCAGCTGTTTGTGCTTTTCTAATTAAATCTGCTTACAGATAATTATAGTCAACAAAGTATGTCTTTGTTATTTATCAAACTAAAAAACTTTTAGACTTTGTCAGACAAAAAGTCTGTGATTGCGTGCATGTTTGCCTGATGCTCCCGTCCAGCACATGACTTATGAGTTGTTTATACAGCAAGTATTTTTATTTTAACTTTCTTTAAACAACTTTTTTTAATTAAAATATTTTAAAGTTAAAGACATATACAAAGTGATCCTGCTTCATGGTTTCATCAAGTTGTTTGCAGAGTAATTATTTATATTTCAGCTTTCTTTAAACAAACAATATTTTAAATATTTAAAAAATATTTTTTGGCATATTAAAAAAAATATTTTTAATTCAATCTGATTTAAAGTTCAAGTTTATCCTGGAAGTTCCATTCCTATTAAATGTTGTAAACAATCATTAAAATGTAAAACACAATCTTGTAATCCATACCATTGATGGCAAGAATGAGTTGAAATAATTAATTGAATCATAATAAAATTAACTTACATTTCAATGGTATGTTGAAATCAACTTCAATGTTTGTCTAACCTGAACCATCAGTGACCCAAAGGGGGTCATGGATAGTCTAGTTACCATTATGATTCCATTTCCACAATTATGATATCCAGAATGAAATAACAAGTAGAAATGTAAGTTTTTGGCACTTGTATATCCAATTGTCCAACTGGGCTTTACAATTAATAAGACACCAGAGTTTGTTTTTATCTCCATAAAACTCTTTCTTTCTTGATCATTTCACTTATCTTTTCAGTGCATTTCCAAATGCTTTCAAAGGTTTTTTTTTTTTCCCTTCATTTCAGCCAAGAGTTTCTTTGGTTACTGCGGCTGTTCTTTCCTTGGACAGATTTCTAAAGGCAATTTGTCTTTGACAGTCTCATTTCCCAAATCTATTTCAGAGGTTTTGATCTTTTGTCAATTCAAGCAATGTGGAATTAGTAAATACTAAACACTTCAGTTACATTGGCTTATGGATCAGCTATAACAAAAAAAAAAAAAAAAAAAAAAAAAAAAAAAGGCAGGGGGAGTAGTCATGTCCAACACCACAAATTGCTATGAAACCAAAACATCAATCTGAAAACAAGTCATGTTCTTAAAGAGCTTTGTGCAAGCAAGATTTTCATATGGATGCCATGCATGGCACCAAATACATTCAGAAATATCTAAACTGACAGCTTTATACACCAGCTTCATACGATCATTAGGGAAAAAAGGCTTTGAGCGAGTAAAGCCTGAGGGTCCTGGCAAAGATCATCCTTCTTTGAATATTGTTTTGACTACAAACTTGTTAAATTTTTTTCTGTCCTAGCAACAGTCAGTTATGCACCATGTGTGTTACATGCTTATGCAATCATGTATCGAAAGATACATCACTGACGAGGCAGATTTTTTCCCCCACAGTAGGTTGCCATTTCTTTCTGCAGTAGACCAGTTGCCATCCAAGGCTATAGTCTATCCTGTTATTTACCCATCACTTACGTGCTAATACCCTTGGGAAAGGTATGAGTCCTTTTCTTCTCCCCCCCAGCTATGGGTAAACAGCAGGACAGACCAGACCTTGGATGGCAACTGGTCTACCTCAGAAAGAAATGGCAACTTACTGTGGGAAAAAATTTGCCTCGTCAGTCATGTATCAAAAGATACACGATTGCCTAAGCATGTAACACGAATGGCACATAATTGACTGTCCTAGCATAATGTAACAAATTGAATAAAATGTCTTTCAAATCCATGGATATCAGTGCAAGATCAACTTTTTGCAGTATTTTGCTTTCTACTTCACTATTATTTATGTTCAGTTGTTTTTTAGAAAATGTAATTTTTGTAAAACAATACAATGTCAATTTGTTGTTATTTGTAACTCAAATAAATTCATTTTGTCAACTAAAAGGTAAAATAATGTACACTATAAAAATGTGGGACCCAAATATCTGTTGATAGAAAACCAATAATTATACAAGAAAATAATGCCTGATCACTTGAAGGATTTGTAATAGTATATCTGCAGCCTGTGTATGTCTAAAAATATCTAAAATATGGTTAATGTTTCATGATCTTTTTTGTAACTGGGATTGTAGTTGTTTTGATCCTGAAGAATATGCTATGTGTAACCAAATGCAGATTTTTTTTTTCATCCTAAGAAACTCGACAAAAATTAGAGCATTGAGTAAAACAATCAATGGGGATGAATTTTAAAAAGTTGTTGAAATGTTTATCAACATTTTTACTAAATATAAACCAACAATTAATTTACCCTCAGTTTATTAGTTCATCTTTTATTAAAATTTTTGCCTCTGTTTCATCCTTGTCCAAATTTTCTTCTCTATTTTGTCCAGAAATAGAGGGTCAGTTTCTTGTATGCCCATAATAATTATTTGCTTACAGCTCAAAAAGAATGAAAAATGTTTCCTTGTATTCAAAGCCATTTTTTATTTCTTTTGTGGGGGAATGAAATGTGATGGAGGAGGAGGAGGACAAGTGTTGCCATCACTGCCATGGTCAGGCTACAGGAAATTTTCTACTTGTAAAATAATTGGTTTACTTTAACCTATCATTATTGCTGAAATACAAGCAAAGTTTTCTGGTTATTGATTATTCTTTTATACCAAATAATAGTTTACACAATTCACTTGGGTCTTCTATTACCTACGATCAAAGTACTTTCTATATATTAGATGCAAACTGACAAATAACCTACTTTTCTATCTCAAACATGCAAGTAAAATTTTCAAGGTTTATTTTAAGAGAAAAAAATTGTCATCAATACCAAGAAATATGAATAAACAGAAACAGTCAAATATAGTTTCCAGAAATTGAGTGATAAGGAGATTAAAAGCTCTAAAGTTTTCTAATAGAACTATCAGTACATTTGGTACACATAACTTATTTCTCTACGGTATATTACATTTTTGCATTGCATCAGAGTATTTTTAAATTGAACAGAAAAGAGGAGTTTGATCAATATGTGTGATAATTTAATTTGCTGCTAAAGCAATTAAAGCTTTGCCCAATTCTACAAATTAGAAGTATTTTACAATCATTTATGCAATTTCTTGAAATATATATAAGTATACATACTAGCATAACATGATAAACAATTGTAGTTTTACTAAAAAGAGCAATCTCTGGATTGAAACCTATTAAAATGGCTTCTACAGTTTGTCATTTAAAAAGAAATAAATCTCCATTATCTAAAGAGTTTGAAAAGGAAACAGAAATTTCCAAGTGAGTTGAGAATATCAATCAGCAAAACTATCTAGAATTTTCACACAATTTTAAATCAGATTAAAACCAATTCAAATTTTTTTAAATGAAAGAAAATAACAGAAAATTGTAAATTAGAAATTTGGTTACTTACTTTGCCCAATAGGAGAAATAATATTTCAGATTTTTGGCAACTGGTTCAGGATCAACATTTTCTTTTGAATCTTTTGTTGAATCAACAGCCTTCTTTTCTGCAGTTGGTTCAAGAGTGATTGGAGACTTCATCAATGGAGATCTTTTATAAAGAAAAGGTAATAATATAGACCAATTAGTCTATTTTATGATATTTTCAGTATGATATTTTTCTTAACACCATATAAATGATATACGAGCATACATACTAGTATATAAATGATGATCAATTGTACTTTTACTGAAGCTATTTGTTTTGAACATTTCAGACTACATTTCTCCCTAGAACTCTAATGGAACACACATACATAAATCTTTATGCAAATTAATTGAAACAAAACGAATAATTCCGTTATTATTTACGTTTTTTTGTATTTTCCAAATGAAACATAACCCAGTGCACATGTTAGTACTTTGTATGTCCATTCCACGAAGTCATTCCTTGTAGATTGACCACAGATTCTAAATTGGATTTAAATCAGGATAGTTTCTGAGTTAGTCTATAGTACTTTGATTTGCTCACTGGTAAGGCTTGTCAGTGCATTCAGGTAGCATTACAATTTTCATACGCTTCTTTGGAGTAATGTCCATCACAGACAATGGCTGTAGGACAACTAATTGACAGTTGAGACAACAGTGTCTGGTTATGTTGAAAATCCTTATGTAATCGTTGATGACGCAATATTTTTCAAGGCCAAACAAATTTCATCATACATCTCAAAAATAGATTCATAACTGCACGCCACTGCAAATGACCTAATCTGAGGAAAAAATAAATCGATTACACCCTGTCAGTTCAGTGAGCCTAAAGCTGACCAAATGGTGAAAGAAAGGAAACTAAAGTGGTTGTTTCAATTGATTTACACAAAGGTGTACATACAATCCATCACTAAAGAGGCTGGAAAAATGATCAGTTCCTTGTACTGACTCCTTGTGTCAGGCTTTATCTTGATAAGAATCAAGTCAAATCAAAAATGGAATATTGCTGGCATATCTGGGTTGAATCTGCTCAATCCTCATTTTCCAGGATTGAGTTTGAAACTATTTACATGGCCTTAAGGGTGATGAATTATTTTCAACCTTACAACCCCTTTTCTCATAAATGCACTTTCTACTCCATTGCTATTTCCAAGGAAAATGTTCTGATCAGCTATATTCCTTAGTTCCACCAGTTCAGATCTTTACAGCTAGGATCTGCCATGCACCATACATAGAACTGAATCATCCCTGTTCTTTTCATATTTCACTGGTAAGAAGGAAGTTCTATTTGAATAACTTCCTCCTGGATCACTACAATCTTAACCTCATCAAGTCTAGGCTCAACTGTATATCCAACATCATTCAGTAACTATCTTTATTTAAAAAAAAAAAAAAAAAAAAAAAGGGAGGGATTGGCACTTCTGAAGATCAGAGTCTTCTAGCTGAATTCACAATGTAGTATCTGTCCCACATCAGCTATTTCCCATACTATAATTTTGATTTGTAGTACCGTGTCTTTGTTTTCAGGCAGTTTAGGGTTTAATGATGAAAGGAACCTCTAATCCTGGAGATTCCAATCCTGCAGCAGCACATACCAAATTAATCTGATGCCTTCATGATAACATTTGTGGGGTTTGGGTAATTTATGTCCATAATCCATATAGCCACCACATGCGAAATTAACGATATACACACACTGCACCTTATACATGCAAATAATGGATAGTATGATCAGTTTTTTCTTCTTTAAAATACTTCTCTTTTTGTTAAGTCACCCATATTTCCTTCTCTTGAAGTTAAACTGCTGCCATCAAAGACTCCTGTCTTAGCACTAAATTTGGTTAGAGATATTTTTTTGTAATAAAAATTATCCCTAAAGTCTTCATGGATAGATAGGAAATTGGAAGGTGAAATCAGAAATCTAAATTCAAATTCCAGTCAGGTTACATTCACTTATGCACAAATACCTTTGGGAAAGGCACGAATCCATCTTTTCCTATCATAAGTGATAGGATTTGTGTCATTGTTACTAAAAAAAAAAAAAAAAAAAAAAATTAACAAATGGTTGATAAAGCATAAAAAGCAAAATCAATTGAAGTTTTCTGGGAAATGATAACATGCTCCTATCCCTTGCCACTTCAGATAGTGACCAGATGATCTTAGATATATTCAGAGATTATATAAATAGAAACAATCTTTCCAGTTTCTACAGCAATAAGGAAAGATTTGACACTCATACTGACAAGACAAATGTTGCCTTAGATGATGAACTGAATCTTGTCATTAGTTTATTTACTCACGAGTATCCTCATGTTTGTTGTTTTTTTTTTTTGTCAAGCTTTCCTGGTATTGAACACCATGTACTCTAATAATATTATTTTGGGAGCAGTCTCTTACATCTATTTTTGCTCTTCATGATTGAAAAATAAATATTACTAGAGAGCCCAGTCTTCCTCTGCTGGAATCCATACCCTGTATTTGTGTGAAAGTGAATGCAACAATCATGGCCCAAATTGAACTTGGCATGATACTTCCACTTTCTAAGACTATATGCTAAGCACATGCACACACATGTGAGTGTGTGTATATGTGTACCAAAAATTGTCATTTCTTGAACCTATTTTAATAAGAATCTAATTTGCAATTCCCTCACTCACACGGCTTTCATTCAGAATTATATACAATTCAAATATGAGATTGCTGTTCAATTTTGATAAAACCTTAATTGAAATATTTAAAAGATGCATGTCACTTACTTTGGTTCCTTAACCTTTACAACACTGCAGACATCTTTCTCAATATTCTCTGGGCGGATAAGTTCGCCGAGTGATGGAGCTTTGTTTCAAAGGGAAAGTAAATTCCTAAAAATAACCCATTACTACAGAAATAACATCATTAAGTTTCTGATATGAACTGTGAATCACTGAACGTCAGTCATTTTGTCCTAATTGAAATAGTTATGAAAGAATTTTGATAAAATTTTTTTTAAAAAAACATTCGTTTTTTGATTACAATGGCAACCCCCAGATCAAGGTGTGGATCTGTTACATTGATAGAAGAACTTTTCATGGACAATGAGAGCAATGAAGAATTTTTTGGATTTACCCACACAGATATTGGTGATGTGTGATTCCAACCAAGGAGGAATTTTCAGACTATTGCAAGTATACAATCATCTGTGACTACCGAAGTTTTCCTATACTCCCAGACCTACAAATGTTAATCAAGAAGCTAGAGAGGGAGATGTTTTTCATCTATTTTTATCTGATGAAGTTATTCAACTAATGGTAGTGGAAACTAAACAGTACATAAATGATGTGAAAACAAAATTAGGCAACACAGAAAAGCCCAACTTGCAAATTGGAGCTTGGAAAAAACGTTTGCTTTGAAGAAATGAAAGCATTTTTGACCTTGCTTTTGTTGATAGTTTTAATAAAGTGGCCTTCGTATTCATCTTGCTGGGCAACAGATCCCATTTTATATATGCAAGGCTTTCACAATGTCATGAGTAGGAATCGTTTTTCATCAATTCTGTCATATTTCTTTTTAGTTCTCATGTTTTATTTTTTCTTAAAATTTATATGTACATTAAAAAAAAATATGTCTACATTTTTTTTTTTTTTTTACATCCTTTCATGCAAATACCTTGAAATTTTTATAACAATATCTCTAAAAGCCTAAAAGTTACAGTACTAGTAATATACCCCCCCATTCAAAAATTTACCACATCCAAAATTTATGTGGATCCAGGGGATACAACTCCGAAAGTTAGTGCAGAGTTGTAAAAGTTAATCACAAAAAAATCTATTCATATTGGTTTTTTTTCCCAGACAATAATGGATACAAAAAAAGTTTGCTATTATTTTTTTTTTTTTTTTCATCCAGAGAGTAAGAAAGAGAAATACAAGAAAACAACAAAGGACAGAAAAAGGCAGATATATCACGATGGAATAACATCAGACTTCTGTTACATACTCGTAGAGAAAATTTTTATCATTGGTGTTTTAATTTTTAATATGCTGCGTTCATCTAACTTTAGTGAAGTACTTAATTTTACAATCTTTTCCTTTTCACTGAAACAGACATTAAACACATGAGAGTGTTATCATCTTTCTTCCCTATCTTCTTTTTCTCAATGAAACCAAAATATATCTCCAATATGTCTTTTCTGCCTTCTCTTACATTCAAAACAGAAAACATTCTTATGCTGTATTGTCAGGACATAACAAACACACAGAATTATATGATGGTCAAAACAATGGGGAGTGGGAAATGAGGATATTATTTCAGATTAGTCACAGAATAAAAAGATTTATATCCAGGTAATGTATGATGCCTAAAAGAAAAGAAATTATATTACAAGCTCCTTGCATTCACCTTCACACAAATAACCTTGGAAAAGATGAGACTTGATAACAACCCAACACCCCCACCAGTTCTACCTCTTAAAAACCTCAAGAGCAACACCTATGCCACAAGGGAGGAGTTTTCTTACTTGATGGAGACTAGAAGGTTTTCAGCTGGAACTTCAGTATTGATAACCCCAGTGACTTTGTGTTTAACAGCTGTCAGGCTTAATACAACAGGATTGGAGCTTAAAATAAAAATAAATAAGAAAACTTTAAGCAATAGAAGAAGCAATTTGCAAAAAGAATTAAAAAAAAAAAAAATTTTTATTTTAATTTTTATCAACAATATGCACACAATATTTGACTGTTTAACAAGGTTCTAGAAAAACTCAAAAAAATACATATTTGGTTATGCCAGAAATGGACAGTGTGTGTGTGTGTGTGAGATATATAAAAAGAACAAGTATGAAAACTATCAATTTGACATACATATTTTACTATTGATTTACCTTCATCAAAATAATTTTGTTGATAAACGTTACTATTGTGGCATGAAAAAGGAAAAAGAGACAAAATTTTCATTGATGCATGTGTTTATAGCCTGTTCAATAGTGTGAATGTCGATTGTTTATGCGTATAGACTAGAAAAATTGGGGTTGATTCTCATTGGTTTAGAAAGAGTGAAATAATTATAATTATTACAGTTAAATTAATTAAAATTAATTTTTATTTATTTATTTTTTATAGATATGACACAATGACAGTATAATTAATTTTTTTTTTATTTATGTGGGTGTCCTATGTTTATCTAATGCTGCCTTTATGTCTAATTCTTAAAGTGATAGTTTAATACAAATGGGTTGATTGTTGTATTGTTTGCATGATAAATATGAGGAATATTGAAAAGGAAAGTGACTTTTTGAGGAATGGGATGAATGCAGGATTATTTCAATTTAATGTCAATGAAAAGCAGTCTTTGCAACAAAAAAAAAAAAAAAAAAAAAAAAAAAAAAAAAAAAAAAAAAAAGAAAAAAAAAAAAAAAAGAAAAGAAAAAAAGTCTCCCAATAGCCACGTCTGCTCACTTCCACTTCTAATTTTTTTTCTCCCTCTCTCTGCCCATCACGGTCATTGTATACCACCTTTTAAAGCAGGTGGTTGTCCTCGTTCGCAAATGACCGATATTCATAAAACTCCATAACATCACACATGCACCTTGGACCTCTTGTAAACAACGGTTCGGCAAGACAGATACCTTGGGCACTTTGGATCGGGTAAGTGCAAATATCTATCATCACACTCCCTGCTGTTCATATAACAATGCAGGTGACGGGGGAGGGGGGCCGTGCTGACCATTCCACCCTACCACTCCTTTGCAGTGGGACAAAAACTTCTTCCTAACCAGACGAATCATCAAACATGCTGTAGTCTGAATCGGAATTTGTGGCTTGATAAAAGTAGGTCCCATCTCTCCCTCACTCTCGGATGGAGTGCCACTGCTGCTTGCACTGGAGCCTGGTTCTTGCCATTCATTACTCCCTGATGATGCGTCAATGCCATCGTCCACTGGTGGCCCTGAACTGAAATGTGAATGCATGTCTCTCATGTGCCAAGGCATGCCATCAATGACCACTGACTGTGGACTGGTTATCCCAGTAAGGCGAACGGTTCTAAATTTTGACATGTATCATCCGTGTGGATTTTTCACCCACCCTTTCTGTACCAGGTTGACATCCCTTGATGGTAAGGCTGGGGCACAATGGCAATTCTTTTCAATCGAATCTGGTATGAATGCAGCAAATTGGTGGGCACAGACAAAGCGGACATGTCATCCTTGGGTGTGATGTTGTACCAATATACGGCCTCCATCATAGGGCAGCTCTTCCGCACAGACATCTGCAGCACTTGTGAATATATCAACATAGGTGTTTAGTTTGTGATAATCCATTACAGAACACACTTTGTTTGTTAGTCTGTAGTACAGATATCAGTCCCTTGGGCAGGCCAATATACGGCAGCAACCAACCATTGTCCATCCAGGTCTGCAACTCATGCTCATACTCCACCCTCAACAAGACAACAGATTCAGAGATCCTGTTCCTAAGTTTCTCTGATGCACAACCCGCTGACCACTTCCAGGCTGTGACCCACATTCCCTGCTTCTCATCAAATTTTGCACTAAAATCAATTTCATTGCTGCACAGATGGGCCATGTTTCCTCAAACTTTATGCTTCCAGACTGCATGATGTGAATGCCACCGTATACCTTAATGGCATTGATGTCAAGCATTAGATTGAAATCCAGAGGCATTACCAGCACATCGATTGTGGCAGTGTTACCAGTTTCTTCCACAGTAGGCCTGCATGGCTCCAGTTACTGTGGTTACTATGATCAAGACTGACATAGCTTTGTACTCAGAATGGAACGTGAACAGTGGAGGAGAGATGAGCATTGTGCGCTGTCAATGTAGACAGTGATGATAGGTAGTGCGTCTGGAATAGATCAGCACCAATATCTCAACACCAACTTTGTTTCCTGGACAATCTCTGACAAGGTGATCAGTCTTGTTGCAATGATAACGCATTCGAGTGATCTGCCCTCTCCGCATACAATCACTCGCAAAGTGATTGGGACCATTGCAGTTATCACATATAAACCGGTGGGCTCACAACTAGGGACGATTAAGCAATCCGGGCAGGCTGTGCCACAGCATCAACTGGTTCCTCCACTGCAGCTTCATCCTTCATATACACCTCAAACTTCTCATATGCTGTGAATCTATCAGTGGCAAAGGTGGTAATTATTGCTTCCTTGAATCAAGTCGTGTCAGAGTAGTTGTTAAACCATAGACGCTTCCCCAGTTAGACAAAGAGGGATGACCCAATTGAAGTTCATGCCAGATAGATCACGCACCAATTCCAGCTTCTCAATCTAGTCAATCACAGCTCCAGTCCTGTCAAATTCGAAAATAATTTTCAGGTCAAACTGGCTACCCATAGCTTGTTAATGAATAGCGCAGTTTTTGAAAAAAAAGAAGAAAAAAAAAACAAACTCCCAACTGCCACGTTTGCCCACTTCCACTCACAACCTTTTTCTCTCCTCTTTACCATCATTGTATATCACCTTTTAAAGCAGGTGGTCGTCCTTGTATGCAAATGACTGACATTCATAAGGACCTCTCATAAACGACGGTTCAGCAGGCCATACACCTCAGGCACCTTGGATCAGGTAAGTTCAAATATCTATCATCACAGTCATGTAATTACTTGGTGGTTTTAGTATGTATGTACATATGTATCAATTTTTCAAGGGCTTCATGTGTTTACCTCATTAAAAACTGATATATTTTTTTTGATTTCAGGATAAATAGGACAAATGTTGAAAATGAAATATGTAATACTGTCTTACATCACTTAGAAATGTTTTACAAATATGGATTGCATTAAAAAATACATCTGACATGTGTTATCTGTTCATATTCCTTCCAGGTATTTTCTCTGTAATGGGTGGTGTCCATTTTTTAAGGTAGCATTTAGCAAATCTGGTTATGCAGGTAGTAAAAACAGTAAAAGTTACTTTATAAAACACATTTGAATAAGTTACTTACGTATCGTATGTATAAACATCCTTCTCAAATCTATGGCAAGAGTCAGTGGTAAGACGATAGACGCCTGGCTGGGAGAGACAGAACCTATTGGTGCCTTTCTTCAAAGCAAACGAACCCACACTGCCTTGTTTGTTCTCATGGGCAAAATTCTGTAACACAATAAATTCTAAATAAATATACAAAAGACAATTACAAAATGAGAGTTTTCAGAATTACCCAAATAATCTGATCAGAAATTTTTAAGATTCTCACAGAATTGCTTGTTTAAACAAGAATTCAATTTACAAGGGTTATAAGGGACAAAAAAAAAAAAAAAAAAAAAAAAAAAAAAAAACATTTTGAGGATTCCAGACCAAAGTTGTTCACCAATATACAGGAAATGTAAAAAAACAGCTATAATTGCTCTGAGAAATGTTCTACCATCCCAAAATCAAAATGTTTTCTTTGAACTTTGTTTATCATTTATGATTAAGATGCAAAATAAAACATCATTAAAATGTTTGTTTAGGAAATAAAATTTAAAAAATAAAATATCAAAGTTTTAAAAATTAATTAATTAATAAATATAAAAAAAAAAAAAAAAAAAAAAAAAAATTAAATTTTCATTAAATCACCTTTACTAATTTTACACAAATGTTCTTACTCATTAATTTTCATAACTTATGAAACTTTAAGAATTGTACTGCAAGCATTCATTTCCTATTTAACCAATATTAGTACATTCCAATTATTCATGTTTTTCAAATCTTTGTCAAAAGATTTTCATTTACAATTACCTGCCTCACACTGACTAAAATTTCCATGTTTACCAATTATTTTTTTTTAATTTTCCCTTTAGTTTATGATAATCATAACACATAAATGTTGTTTGTTTGCTTCATTTAAGGAAATATTGAGAGAAAAAAAATGTCATTTTCTTGCTCTGTTTATTAAAGAAAAATTATTTCATACAATTAGATCCTACTGTTTTTCACATTTAGCAATAAATAATATAAATATCTAAATTTAGGTTCTTCAACAGACATTTCTTTTTCTGGGTTTCATTCACCAGTTTAAAACAAAGCACTTAAGATTTGTGTGTGTGTGTGTGTGTGTGTGTGTGTGTGTGTGTGTGTGTGTGTGTGTGTGTGTGTGTGTGTGTGTACTCTATTTGTTAAAAGTCAATCCTTATTAATAAGAAGTAATTTTTTATTTTAAGAAATTACTTCCTTCAGAATAAACAATAGAATTTTAATTAAAAATTTTGTATCATCCGAGAAAAAAGAAGACTAATACGTCATCTTAAACAAATATTTTATCATCCCTGGGGAAATGGAGAACATTAATTTCAAGCCTGCTTATTCCGATATACCAATTTGAATTCACTATTGGTGAATGTATCTTTTTCCCCCATTTGTAGAAATTATATGCAAATACAACTTCAAACCCACAAATTTTGTGCAGTTCATCCTTTCATCTAAATTTCTTCAGAAACTGTCATTTTCTTTTAATCCATATCTTTGATAGATAATATTAATTCACAATTGATCTGAAAAAGCACCAATGATTGGGAATGTGCGTGCCAATAGTCAGATTTATCTCCCTTAGACATTGTGTGTTATTTCTAAAGCTCTAAACTCAAGTCAGATCGTCAGTGTTTGACAATGATCATTTAATTTTTTTAAAAATTAAAAATTGGTTTCTTATTGCTAAAAATTCCTCTAGTTATTCTCATAAGTGAATTGACCTGAAATTAAACATGTTATAGCAACCAGATATTTACTAAGCTTATCTAAATATAGCACAAGGTCAAGTAAAAGAAAATGGGATTAAGAAGAGTGTGTAGTGACAATCTACTACTAAATGGGGAGTAATTGTCTCAAAAACCAACATGCAAATCTAGGTAGGTTCAAATATTGGGAAAAGTAGGATATAGACATCTAAATTCCCAACCAGGTATTTCAATTTGGCCATATTTTATCAGCCAAGTACATATACCAACAACAAAATATAAAAAATAATAAGATTAAAACAAGTCAGTAAAAGAGTATCCATCTTTTGTTCATTTTTTTTTTTCAGTTTTTGTATGCAAATGTTTCAGATGATGCTTTCTTTAGATCCCCCCCCCTTCAGGGATATGTTGCACCTGGTGGTTTTGAAATCATTCAGTAATTTTCTTTCTCATCTTTAGTATGGCAAGAACACTACACACACACACAAAAAAAAAAAGAAGAGATTTCTAGAAATCAAGAGCAGTGATGTATTGATAAGAAAGACTGAAAAAAAAAAAAAAAAAAAAAAAAAAAATAGCAGTTGAGCTAAAATGATGAACAAAAATAAAGATACTTGGCCTAAAACATAAAATAGTCAAAATGTGAAAATGTCAGAAAATAATTCATATTACAATTCTGAAGTAGAAAATAATAATAAAAAAAAAAAAAAAAGAAGTAGAAAAAAAAAAAAAAAATTGGACTTGTCTATGAAGTAGAAAATAAAAAAAAAAAAAAAAAAATTGGACTTGTCTATGAAGTAGAAAAAAAAAAAAAAAAAATTGGACTTGTCTATGAAGTAGAAAATAAAAAAAAAAAAAATTGGACTTGTCTATGAAGTAGAAAATAAAAAAAAAAAAACTTGTCTATGAAGTAGAAAAAAAAAAAAAAAAATTGGACTTGTCTATGAAGTAAAAAAAAATTGGACTTGTCTATGAAATAAAAAAAAAAAAAAAAAATTGGACTTGTCTATGAAGTAGAAAATAAAAAAAAAAAAAAAAAATTGGACTTGTCTATGAAAGTAGAATAATGTGGAGATGAATGAATGCAGTGGAACTCACCAGAGTAATTTCATGAGACAATCCACACTTGAGGATATAACCTGTTTGGGTAAATTCCAAACCCATTACATCTTTGTCAGTAATCTCAATTTCCTTAGATTTCTCTTTCCAGCACCAGTTGTCTTGAAGTGGAGTCACTAATAATTAAAAGCAATTTTAATATTAAAAAAAAAAGAACATTAGTTTTATCACAAAGAGATTGCAATGTAATAAGCTTCAATTAATATATCAGACATTCAACTGTCATTTGATGGAAAGAAAGCATTTTATTACTTCTAATAAAATAAACCAACTCTACATTAGGTACCTACTCTATATTATCATTGTTAAGACAGATCATATTTTTAATGGAACTTTTCCAGACCGACGAATTGGACAAAATGTGTCACTAGATTTGATTTCTTTTTATAGGAGGAGGAGAATAAAGAGAAAATTTATGCCCTAAGACCTAACACACTTATGTAATCAGTCAGTTGCAAAATAAACGTTAGTTGATGGTTGCAACTCAGTCTCTTAAATTATGCTTTGTTATGGAAGAAGAACATTTTTAAGTCTTAAGTGCTATTTGAAACATCAGTTACCGTTTTGGCAAAATATTTATTCTTTATCATAAAATTCTGTAACTTTCTGGTAATAACCAGAACTGTTGTTAAGAAAGCATGAGCAGAATTTTGGGAGACACCTGAGACAAAGTCCTCACCTAAATTCAAGAGCCACCCTGGGAAATGCATTGTTAAGAATAGTGAACAGATGGCAAGGTGAAAAAAAAAAAATCCCATTTAGTACAAACAGATCTGCTCACCATAGAAGGATGAGAATAAACCAAATAATTTCTTGTAATTGGAAGATTTATTTTTTCTTACTAAAAGAAAATATTTGAAATGATTTTTTAACATTTGATTTTACAAACAAAATCTTCAAGACAGGAAGTTTTAGTCTAAATAGTTTTAACTTGTGTCATCATAAAAAAAAAAACTAACCTATGAACTTATTAACTAATATTTTTATTAAGTGATGGTATGTAGCTAGTCAAGTCTCATGTAAAAATTGGACATAAGCCATCAATATTTGTGCAGTGTTTGCATAAAAAAATTATATTTCAAACCACATTCACCAAAGCCTGTTAATAATTGATCCAGTTTGATTTGAGATATATATATATATACACACACACACTAGAGTACAGTGTGAGTTTTTATTATCATTTTTTTTTTTTTTTTTTTTTAAACATAAAATATAGAGAGTAGCACTTAACATTGGTAATTTTTTTTTTTTGAAGAGCTTAGAACTCATGCATTTTTGGTGACTGGTTGCACTATCCACAGGTAAATTTTTTTCTGGAGGGGTTAAAATTCATGTAAAAAAAACTCAGTGGTCACACTATACATGAAGTCGACTAATACACAAGTATATACAGTACCTATCATTATTCAATGAATTTTATGGAATCCAATTAAATCAAATAATAGTTTATATCATTAATATAACAGTAATATCATTAATATGACAGTAAAATTCAATGGAATATGTTTTTGCTATTGTCAATCTTTCTAGATTGAAACTAATAATAAAATAAAAGACATTATTTGCTAACAGCAATGTGCTGAGAGAATTAACTTGACAATATTGTTTTTTTTGTTTTTAATAACTCAGTAAGCTTAAAAGGCACATAAAAAGTAGACTAACATAAAAGCTTCTTAAAGACAAAAGATAAAAAGGAGACTAACAATTTTTCTTCAGGATGAGAAAAAGCATTAAAAGTGGATCTTATGTTCATGCAGGTCATTTTTTTTTTTTTTTTTTTTTTACTCACCTTTATATTTTCCGGGCAGAATGTTCTCAAATTCAAAACTTGCTTTCTTTAGAGAATCCTTAAGCTGTAAGAAAAGTTACAAAGATGAAAGATGATGTACAGTTTTTTCGAGCAGAAAGAATAAAAATAAAATTCTCATTTTTTTTTAAAAAAGAAAAAAAAAAAAAAAAAAGAAACTTACCATGATAACTTTTTTGTCTTCTCCTATCATGCCAATAGGGTCAAGTGAAAGACCCAGGGCTCCACAATTCTCTAGAAAGGGGGTGAAAAATAAATTATATTGAAATTATTTTTCAATGAAAAAACTACTGGAAACATTTTCACTTATGAGTGGTCAGGTTGCAGATATGATCTTTTAATTAAATAGCAAAAATGCAATAGAAAAGAATTTGGTTTGACAAATTTTTCTGATTTAGAAAAAAAAAAAAAAAAAAGGTCATAAAATTGTTCTACAATAAAAAAAAAAAAAAAAAAGTATGGAGTATGAAAAGCATCTTGCTTCATTGGAAGATACAAGGTTATTTAAGTTCTTTAAGAGGATCAAGTTTTCAATTCAACAAATGTATTTAACTTTGATACTATGAACTTCACATTTCACACATAAACAAGACTTATAGGCCTACAATATGAAAATGAACAGATTCATTGTAGAAACGAAAATAAAATTTATTTTTTTTATGATTGATTTATCATTTAATCTGTTTCCATTTCTTTAAACAACTGTAGACAATGCTCCTTTACATTCTGAAAAGATGGTTACTGTTCACTTTGCCAAAACTGTTTCAAGGTTACCAATAGAATGGCCCTTTGTCTCTCTAGATATCCAATAGAAAACTTACAATCCATAATTATACATACATGAAGATGAAAAACAATATTCAAGTAAAGAAGTCAACTGTAAAGCAACAATAACTACTCCAAATAATGTTAAAGTCAAAACAATAGAAAAATTAATAAAATCAATGATTGAAAGGCTGAAGAATGTCAAAAAATGTCATGGAGCTTGTATCAAAATGTAAATAATAATAATTTATTCAGGTATAAGAAATAGTGTTAATCAATAGAATGATTTCTTGAAATTTAAATTGTCTTTAAAACCTGACATCCCCAAAACAAGATATAACAAACATTTTTAATTATTGATGTTGAAAACTGCATAATATGCTACCCATAATTGTTTTTATTTATATCAATTGGTAGAACCAATTCTATTATGAAAACACTGACTTGCATAATCAAATCTGACATAGTATATTACTCAAAACAACTGGAGACTAAATTAGCTTCTGACTAATTCCATTTTTGGATAATTAAAAAGAAATTATTCATTGAGTTTTATAACACTGAAAATCATTAGACTTATCAAAGTTTTAACTTTCTTTTAATAGATTATTAAAATAAAAATCTGAAATTAATCATCATTAATCTGTGCTGATAAAACCCCATAAAAGGGCTGAATTATTAAATTGAAAAAGTTTTAGAATAAACAAGCCTTACCAATGCATGTAATAAAGCCAGACACTTTTGCCCTGAACTGTGAAAAGGTGACATCCAAAACTGGTTTGTTGGCGATTGTGACAAGTTGTGCTTCTGGGGACAAGTATAGACCAGCCTTTAATTCTTGAGAGCTAAGAACAACCTATTAAAATAAAATGTTAAGAATTTCTTTTTTTCAGTTAAATTTTAAATAGGCAATGTTTGTAACCACAAGAAATACAAAAAATAGCAATTTCATATTAACCCTTTTAAAAAGAAACAGACCTCTTTAATAATAATAATAAAAAAAAAAAAAAATTAGAGTTGTTTTTTGATCACTTTGTAACAGGTTAACATTTGAAGACAAATCTGTTAATGAAAAAAGAAAAGAAAAAAAAAAAGCCTACCTGGAAAACATATTTTCCAGGTTTAAATGCAGCACAGAATTCTCCTTGCATGTCTGTATCAAGAATCATCACTTTTACAGCATGTCCTTCAGTAAATACATTCACTTTGCGTTGGAGAGCAGTTCGGTCAAGTCCTTTGGGAATTTCATCAATATTTACTTTTCCACACACACTGAATCTAATAATAAAAAAAGAAGTATTAAGTTATTAGCAAACAAAAAATATATTGCATCTCTAAGCTCTCATGCGTTCAGTTTACAGACAGAGAATAGAAGAGTTGCTCTCATAACCAGAAAGTAGATCAAAACAAAATTTATTATATATATATATATATATATATATATATATATATATATATATACACACACACCCCCAGGAACTCCATAAAGTATATTTGTAGGTAATCAAAATTCTTTGTAATTTTCAAATATTATAAATGAATTCTTTAAAATTTCAAGACAATTCTTCATCAGACCTTATAGACTGGAGCTAAAAAAAATGACGAAGTGCTTTACCAAATAACAAGAACCACATCACTTGAAGACTTAACAGCAACAAAATGCATTATCACATGTAGCTACAAGAGAAAATAATGATATAATCTATATATTAATTTATTATACAACCTGAAAAAAGAAAGAAAAAAGGTAGAGAATGGAACTTTTATTGAAGAGTCTAATTTCCTGAAAAATTGTCTGAACCATAATTGTTCATTCAATAAATACCTAAAACCCAAATTCCCCATAGTTTTGTTGTGGGAGGTGGAAACAGGTAATATGATGGCCAATGGGGGGGCACTGATGAAGCTATGACTGGCTTAGCAGGTCGACAGTGGATAAAAATTGCTCAAGGAAACAAAAGGAGATACTAACAGACTGATCAAGGTGGAAAACAGGCAAGAAGCTAGAAATAATGAAAAGGTTAGAACCTGGAACATCTGTGGTTTGACAAAAAAAAGGACCTCAAGTAGTTTGACAAAAAAAAAAGGAAAAAAAAAGGACCTCAAGTAGTTTGACAAAAAAAAAAAGGACCATCAATTAGTTTGACAAAAAAAAAAAGGACCTCAAGTAGTTTGACAAAAAAAAAAGGACCTCAAGTAGTTTGACAAAAAAAAAAGGACCTCAAGTAGTTTGACAAAAAAAAAAAGGACCTCAAGTAGTTTGACAAAAAAAAAAAAACAAAAAAAGGACCTCAGTAGTTTGGACCTCAAGTAGTTTGGACAAAAAAAAGGACTCAAGTAGTTTGACAAAAAAAAAAAGGACCTCAAAAAAAAAAAAAAAAAAAAGGACCTCAAGTAGTTTGACAAAAAAAAAAAAGGACCTCAAGTAGTTTGACAAAAAAAAAAAAAAAGGACCTCAAGTACAAAAAAAAAAAGGACCTTTTTGACAAAAAAAAAAAAAAGGACCTCAAGTAGTTTGACAAAAAAAAAAGGACCTCAAGTAGTTTGACAAAAAAAAACCTCAAGGACCTCAAGTAGTTTGACAAAAAAAAAGGACCTCAAGTAGTTTGACAAAAAAAAAGGACCTCAAGTAGATGAATTCATGATCCAATGCGGGATCTCGGTGCTGGGTGTCACTGATACCAGAAGGAAGGGAACAGAAACAAAGGAAATAGACTCACTCCCAACTTTATTTTTTATGTGGAGCAGAGTAAACAGGAAACAAAGAGCAGCACATGGTGTAGGTTTCATCATACACCCTGATAAGGCAAAGGATCTGGTAAGCACGGAATTCATTTCAGAGAGACTTGTGAAGATTGGCATCAGAGAGGGAAATAAGATCACCAACTACATTCAAATTTATGCACCATATAATGACTTACTCAGAAGAAGAAAAAAAATCCTTCTTTGGAGAACTCTAGACGCCATCAACTACATTCCAGACAAAGAAGACTTGTACATCATGGGAGACTTTAATGGCAGAGTCAGCAAGAGAAGAACACCATAGACAAAACACCTGGGTCCACACAGTGACCATAGAACAGTTTGCAACTACAACGGCAAACATGTATTGGAGCTGTGTGCTGAGCACAACCTTATCATCACTAATATCTCCTGCCAACATAGAGCCACTTAGATTTACACCTGGTATAAATGGAACATCATCAATATCTCATCTCAAATAGATTTCATGCTAGCAAGATCCCGAATGTGGAGCAACATTACAGTCTCAAGAGCTATCCCCACCACAGGCCAGTCATTACAATGTTGAGCATTCAGAAAAAGAGGAAGTCTAGTAACAGAAAAAAACAGCCAGAAAGACTCAATATGCGCAAACTCCAAGATGAAAGTGTACAAATTCAGATCAGGTGCACCATCAACGAGAAGCTGGATTCTACTGACTCTACAACATTAAATGTAGAGGAAACTTGGACACATTGAAAGAAGTTTGTGGTACTAAAAGGATAAGAGGAAGAAACAGAAAAGCAACAGCCTGGTTGAACAAAGAAGTGAAGGATGCTTTCAGGGAAAAGAAAAGACTATACAAGATCTGGGTCAAGTCAAATGATGAAGAGGATTACATCAATTATAGACAAGCAAGAAGACACAGCACAAAAGTTGTGAGAACAGCAAAAGAAAACTCATGGAGACAGTACAGTGAAAAAACTCAGTGAAAAATGCAAAACCTCACCAAAAGAATTCTACAAGAGTTTGAAAGCAATGAGAGTGCGAGATGAGCCTTATGACCCCCACCATTGTCATCCACGATAAAAAAAGAGCTTTGCATGAGGAAGGAAAGATAATTAAGAGATGGGAAGAAGAATATTTCAAAGATCTACTGAATCCATCAGAAGTACAAGGGCATGAAATATAGTCTCAGATTATCCTCAGCCATCCAGATCACTCAGAATTTACCATCCTGGAGAGTGAAGTGAGAAAAGCAGTAAAAAGCAGCCCCAAGGGCGAGGCAGCAGGAAATGATGGCATTACAGATAAAGCCATTCTTGCATGTAGGGAAACAGGAATACATTGGCTCACCACCATCTTTCAGAAAGCTTGGGAGGAGAGAAAAGTACCCGGAGATTGGCAAAATGCAATAGTGGTACCAATACGGAAGAAGAAGGAGGATAGCAAGAAAGACTGCAATACCTACAGACGCATATCACTACTCGGCCATGTAGGGAAATTATATGCAAAGATACTTGAGCAGCGCACTCGAGTAAAAACAGAACATCTCCTCAGTGACGCCCAGTTTGGATTCAGGAAGGGAAGGTGGTGCACCAATGTAATCTTTGCACTCTAACAACTGTGTGAGAGGGTGATGGAACATGACCAAGATCTCCATCATGGATCAGGAAAAAGCCTTTGATTGAGTCAATAAAGATAAGCTATGGGAGGTCCTCAAGCAGTATGATGTTAAGGGGCAGCTGTTAGACAACATCCGGGCCATGTACACTAAAGCATGAGCGTCGTCCGCACGGCAAGTGGAACATCTGACTTGTTTCCAGTAACATCTGGGGTTAGGCAAGGCTGCAATCTCTCTCCTCTACTGTTTGTGAGCTACGTGGACCAGATTACAAAAGAGGACAATCCAGATCCTGAGGCACTCAACAAACTCATGTTTGCCGACAACCAGGCAATGATGAACAACGATAGGGTCCAGCTGCAGGGACACACTGACCAACTCAAGCTGTGAGAAATACAACATGAAGATCAGAGTCAGTAAGACTGACGTCATGATGTCAGTAAGACTGATCTTCAGTAAGGGACCAGAAAAACTGGACATTAACATCAATGGGACCCAGCTAAAGCAAACCAGTGAATTCAAATATCTAGCAAGCATAGGTACCTCCACGAAATCGCTGAAAAAAGAGCATAGCTTGATGAAAAAGACGCCAACCTTGCCGAAAACAAAATGTTATTGTCTAAATGCTTATGTTATTATTAAGAGGAAAGACCAAAGTTTTTTTTTTTTTTTTTAATTATTTTTAAAATTTTTTCCTTCTTTTTAGAACATTCTAAATTTTGATTAAAAAAACCTTGTTTCTATTTGTATCAGCGGAACTAGTAAATAAACAATTTTTAGCACGTTTTTTTGGTATGGCACAAATTAATTTGAAAAATCGTGCAAAAATAGAAATAATTGTCGGATGTTAATGAAACTTTCAGGAACTATTCACAGATGATTGAAATTATTATAAATATGTTTTGTTTTATTAAAGTCATGGTAGAAATATTTTTTTTAAATATTTATTACCCCCCCCCTCACAAATAACTAATTTTATGAAAACGCTAGAAATTCGATCACATCGGGTTTAGTGATTACAATAATTAAAAGCACAAGGCTTTGAGGAATGCAAATCATGTTTTGTTTCTTTCTAATTGGAGCCAACGTACCTGAAAATCAGCTCTGAATTGTAACATACAAAACTCAATAAAACAAAGATGTTATTTAATTTCAAATGCTTTTATTTGCTTTTAGTTGTTTTTATGAATATAGACAATATTTTCTGAAAGCAAAAAATTTTTTTCAATGAAAAATGAATTTTTAATACAATTATTTGTTATTTCTTTAATTATAATAGATTTTTACATTCAAGTTGTTAAAATATTATAATAATATTATAAAATTAGTTAAAAGCCGCATTGGCTTTCCTAAGTGTCCTTATGAGATAGATCTTTTTTTTAGCGCGTTGTAAATTGTATCATTTTGACTAATCAGAAGATCCACAGTAATTAAAAAATGTAATTTTGTGCTTATAACTGGGCTGTAATTATAAAGTACGGAAGACCAACCAGAATATAATTAAGTTGCATTATTTGAGTTAAGCATTGTTCTCCGCTGTTAAGGCCTTTACTTTTGCGAAACACGTGTGGAGAAGTTAATTTGATTTTTCAATTTCAACTGAGAAGGGTACCTACAAGTATCAGTATCATCTTATGAAATCTATATGATCTTATTTTTATATTAATCTCAGTTATGACATTTTTTCCATAAATGAAATATCAAAATTAATAATAAAATGAATGCAAATACAAATAACACAGTAAAATGTACATAAAATTATAGTATTTTATCTACAGTTCTGATAAAATTTCATAAGAAAGGTACCTACAAATTAATTAGATACCTTTCTTAGGAAATATGAAATTTAATGTCACTCTTAACAGTCTTATTTTAATTTCTTTATAATATATTTTCCATAAAGCATCATAAACGTAAAGGTGAAAGCTAAGTAAAAAAAAAAAAAAAAAAAAAAAAAAAATTAGGCCGCTGAAAGTTTTCGTTAAAAATAACGAGGTAAATAATTTGTTCACTTAAATGTAAATTATTTCACTTTTCTCCTTCCGTAGAACAATCATCATTGTCATTCATCACCTGTCAAGAGCCGCGAAAGTTTATGACCTGCTTTGTTTTATTTTCAAATTACATCTTTTTGGCACAAAAGCTAAGTTAAGTTTGGTTCAAAATATTTTAAATAAACATTATAATTTCTGATTTTCTTAAAATAAGTTTTGAAAAAATGATAATTGATATTTAAAAGACTTTCAAAGTGAGATTTCCAGTTTTTTTTTTAAAATGGAAAAAAATGGTCAATTTTGCTGACTCAAAAAAAAAAAACTAGATTTTTAATGAAAATTTCGGACATGCTAGGAACGATTAAAAAATGGAAAAAAATACCCCCAAAATACTTTGATCTTTCCTCTTAATAATAACAAACATTTAGACGATAAAATTTTGTTTTCGTCAAGTTTGGTGTTTTTTTCATCATGCTATACTCTTTTTTTAGCAATCTCGTGGAGGTACCTAAGCAAGCATATTCACTGAAAATGGCAAACTAGACAGAGAAATGAAGAAAGCTAATACAGTCAGTTACCAACTTGCTCCTCTTGTAAAATATTCTAGCATTTTCATGAGCACCAAGGCAAATCTCATCAACATCATTTTCCTACCAACATTGACATATCAGTGCCAGACATGGCCCCTAACAAAAACCCTTGAGAGGAGATTGATCACTTGTGAGATGAAATGCCTGAGGAAAGCAGTGAACAAGACCAAGCGAGATAAGATCAGGAATGAGGCAATAAGAGGTATGGTAGGGGCAATACCAATCATACAACACATTGAACGACAGAGGATCAAGTGGTTCAAACACCTCACTTGTATGCCTATAAACCAACAAGCTCTATGAGCATACACCCTCAACTACTCTAGCTGGAGAGCAAGAGGCAGACCAAGATGTTGGAGCAACTCAGTGGCAGACACTCTCAGAGTCCATGAGATGTCTCTCCACCAGGCCACATGCCTTGCCGCTGACAGACGACCGTGTCTCCCCGCAACACCTAACAGCACAAGCGGAAGGAAAAACTAAACTAACTAAAATGCCTAATGTTTCCTGTATGTAAATGACTGATTTCACCATTACCATAGGAATACATTGTGAATAATTTTACTATAAAAATTAATATTAAAAAGAGCTATAACATTTAATGGACTTGTGAAGTCAGTTTTCTTGAATATCTGTTTTAAGAAATAGAGCTTACAAATTTCAACCGACAATAACACTAATAGATTAGTCAATGAATACCGAATGTTTCCTGTATGGAAATGGCTAATTTCACCATGACCATTATTCACATCTTCAAAACAAATTTTTACATTATATGCATTAATCTAAGTATTTATATTTTTATATTTTTTTTTTTAAAAGATTTCATATACATTTAGGACATATGCAATTACAGCTTTAATATTTTAGTCATTTCATTATATATAACGAAATGACTGCTTTAGGAAAAATTGTGAAATGGTTTCACCATTATCTTCTTGAATGGTTGTCACCTACCAAGGCTAAAGAACCAAGTTTGACCTATTTTGCCTGTGGGGAGAGGAAATAGATTTATGATTTTTCCAAGGGCATTACAGTGAAAAGAGAATTCAACAGCCTCAGCCAGGATGTGAAACCTTCACACCAGTTCCATTTTTTTGCAGTGATAACCATTATGTCACTTATACATTCATAAGTAGAATATATTCTTATATTAGATTCAGGTTCTCTCTCTCACACACACACAAAGTATTATTTCAAAAGTTAAATAAAGAAAAAATAAGACTAAAAACTATTTTAACTTAAAAAAAAAAAAAAAAAAAAAAAAAAGGTAACAATATATTTTTAAAATTGCTAATGTTAGCCATTTATCAAACAATTTCCTGTCTCTAGTTTGTTGATTTTTTCTTTTTATTAAAGAAAAGGTTATTAAATTAACTTACCTGGATGCTACAATATCAGGTAGTTGTGGAGTATTTGGAGTTATTTTGAGAGAGACTTCTTCAAAAAAGATTTTATCTGACATCACCTGAATATTGTATTTTCCAGTCTTCATATTCTCAAGATGGTAGGAACCATCTGAGTCAGATATTGCCATCTGCTTGCCACCAACAAATATTTGAGCACCAGCAATGCCATGACCCTAAAAGAAAGGAAAAAAAAAAATAAGTAAAAAATATAGCCAAGTTGATAGAGAATTAATCTTAAAATAACTTAAATATTTAAGGGCTAATAGCACATTATGCAATAATTATTTAAATAGGAAGAGTTTCTTAAAGAAAGCTCTGCACCCTGTCAACTTAAAACTAAATTTTTAAAGATCAGCAAAATAAGATATTGAATATTGATTCTCAGAGTCCCAAATCACATTCCTCCTTTTGTGAGCTCAGATTCCTTCAATTCTTCTAACAACTTTCTATCATAATTAGGTGTTCTTCATGAGAGTTGAATCCTTTCCCAATTCCTCTACTGGGAGCCAAATGCCTCACTTTTCAATTCTAACTATATCTGTATCATTCCACTAAGCTTGACTTGCTCTACAAGCACATGCAAAGAAGATAAAAGGGATTTTGTTTTTAAACAAAGCTAGATTTTGACAACATAAAGAATATAATTTGTTTCTCCTAGACAAGAGAAAAAAAAAAAAAAAGGAAATAATTTTAATAATGCAACCCCACTCCATGTGAGGCTGTTTTAAACAGGCTCCTTTATACTGACTCACTTTTTTAGGATTTTGTTCTCATTTCCTGTTCAATTGCAATATTTGACAATAATTTTACACTTTCAAATCAGGAAATGTTACAAACACTTAATTTTTGATGGAAGAACTCTTACTGCATTGATAGAGGGAGAAAAAGACAAATCAACTGCTTTTGCCTACTGACCCATTATTTTTGGCTAAAAGTTCAAGATGATTAATTTTATACAAAATCTGCTGTCAAATAAGAAAACAACTCTGAATTGGTGATAATTTTTTTTTTTGTAGCAAAGTTCTCATATTTTGCAACTGTCAATCATATTTATTTGCTTTATCTGGATGAGATTAAAAGAAGAAAAAAAAAAAATGGTTGGTCATGGATGTTTATTGACTTCTTCCAACTGCTTTACTCTTAGACAAAAGGAAAAGAAGAAAAAAAAACAAAAACAAAACAAGAGGGACTTCTACATAAACTTCTTTTAAATGTTTGAATTTTTTCCTGCCTTGACCAACTGAGGGACAATATTCAGCATTATGTTAATGTTATATAAAAAAAAAAAAAAAAAAAAAAAAAAACAGAAAGCAATAAGATCTTACCTTCACTGAATCAACAACAAGCCCGCTTACTGAAAAACCTGCCACCTGGAATTCTTTCTAAAGTGAAAAGACAAAAAAATCAATATAAGTAGAAATGTGCAGTGAAACACAAAGAACAACTAAATTGTCATTAAAGTGACACAAATATGAACAACAATTAGAAAGTTAAGAACTATTTGGCTGTCAGTGGTGGCTTTGATAAAGATGGTTTAAGCATTACTAGACAAAATATCAAGTTCCTGAGGAATCATATTCATCTTGTCTAAGTCATCTTATTTCAAATTTTTGCAAATTGTTTATATTAATTTTGCTATCATTCATAGGAGGAATTTTGTTTTCAACCTGAATGCCAGTGCCTCTTGGTAGAATTGGTTACAAGAAATTTCTGTGTGTGAAGAGATGCAAAATGTTAAAATAAATAGTGGAACACTTCATAAAATTCCGTTAGTCTATACATACTGCAAAAAAGTACTATTTAAGTATCTGTCTATATTTACGAAATGAGGTATTGTAACTATTTACGTTGCTTGGACTGTTGTCCTCATCTTTATTGGCATTCACATTTCGGCCATTGTACACTCCAGCCTTCTTCAGGTGATATACATCAGAATTTCAAACCGAATCCTTTATTTAATCAGCAGAGATAGATTGTTCTAATTGGAATTTGTAAGTGTAAGCGTTCTGAAAGCAAAGGAAGTATTTGTTGCAGATTACTTCCACAACGCAAAGAAAAATGACCGTAAGTACAGACTCGAATATCGAGGACAGAAAGAAATGCTGAAAACTCGATTCGCCGGTACTATCTCGAATCACAATGCGTGTAACCAGTCAGGAAAATAACTCACTCTCTAACAAATGCCGAAGCCAAAAATGCCCGAATTTTCCTTCCCCGAATCGAGAACACCAACTGCTTTTATTGGCAGAACCTATTTTTTTCATTCGTCAACAGCTGGGATAGGATGCTCTGTAATTTGCATATCAAAATACTCTTATAGCGACTCCTGCGATGGACTTGTTTCTTTTTTTTCGTCACAGAATACACGCGACGTGCTGTCGCTTGGTTTGATGAGGTAAGTTGCCGTTTTCTTCGCTATAAGATTTTTGCTGACTACTTTTTGGTAATCCTTCTTTGGTAGATCGCACCCAAAACAACTTTTTTCCGGGGTACCTGATTATCTCTTTCACTACAGAATTATAACAATCTTCTTCCTTCTAAGGTACATCCTTCATAAAGTTAGTGATCAAATTATTCAGCATAATTTTAAAAGTAAGTCATTTATATCCAAAGTATATAATGGAGATCCTAACTTTGCCTCAACAGCTGAGGTCTGCTATCATTGACACCATATATTCATGCTAGACATAAGAATTCTCCAGCAGAAACATCACAAGTGCTTGTCAACTAAATCATCCCTTAAGTTTTTACTTGTATTGTCAATTGCCAGATTTATGAGTAAGCAATAAAAGTACTTGAGAAACTATGTAAAACCCAAAAATGAAGTCCTAACTAGGTATACATTAGCCATTTGATGCAAGGACCAACTTTAAATAAGTTTTTAGCAAGAACTAAAACTTTGTTTAAGGCTGTGACTACAGAATAATCTACAGATGTGTATGTCAAGAAAAACCTGCCAATAAGAAAATGGTTATGAGAAAACAGAATTTTGGAACCACAGAAAATATATGATAATAACAAAATATACTATTAAATGTATTATTTGTTATTCAATTTGTTCTTTGAATGCTAAGGGATGCATTTATCAATTAGAAATAATAATGAAACCAATAAAAGTTTCAAAAGCGTAGGGCAATTCAACAATTTCTTTTGTCTCAAGTTCAGAGCAGACTCCACACTTTTATACTGTATCCAAATGACAATCCAACAAAATCATAACGGTCATACTAATCAATCCCTTATCTTTATCAAAATTATATTATCCAGTTTTGTTTTGTTTTTTTTTAAACACAAGAAATTCAGCTCTAAAGAAAAATACATTTTAGGAAACTCACTAGAAATTTCTATACATCCTATAAACTGTAATAATTGTTGAAATCTGAATTAAAAATATTTACTTTTATGATTATAGCACCTTACAACAAAATACAAGTTTCAGTAGTTTTCCTTTTTATTTTACTGCTTTTTCCATGTCTGAAGTTGAAAGTTGCTCCTAACATTTCACATCAGACTTCAATTAAATGAACTTATTTTCTCTTGTATCCCTATTGTCAAGTCAGTACAACAGTTTGCTTGGGCAAAAATTCAATTCTTTCATAAATCAATAAAAGTAAAATAAAAACAATGAAAAGCTTAAACAAGTGACAATAAAAATCTATACATATAAAGAGCAGTTGTCTGTATGTATGCGTATCCAGCTAAAACTAAAAAACTACAATAGTTCATGACAAAGTAAATATGTACACAGACTCATTATTACCGAAGCCCCAGCTTTTTGTAAAAAAAAAAAAAAAAAAAAATTGTATGATTTGTATTTACAAAAATATTTTAAAATTAGAATGCATTTGAAATTCTTAGAATTAAAAAGTAAAAAACAAATGCTAAGAATTCTTATTCACGAATTAGTTTACCATTTGTTTTTTTACTTTTTTTTATTCTACTAAACATATCCAAGTATGTATTTTTAAAATTTCTATTCTCTTGAATTTATTTTCATATCTATAGTAAATAAAAGTGTGACTTTGAAAAATCTGCAGGTAAAAATCTTCCAAAATGTCAGCAATATATTTCACAAATTGCGAACTTAGCAGAACCATATTAGTTCTCAAAGTGACCGCATGGTGGAGGTGGTGACCTTTTAATTGTAAACAAAGATGGAAAGTACAATACATTAGTGTGTGTGTGTGTGTGTGTGAGAAAGTAGTTGTGTGAATATTTTTGTTATTTTGCTTAATATATCTATATTAAATATATATTTATTTATGCCATATATACATGTTTATAGTATTTACATTATGACCATAACTACTGGTAGCTACTACTCAAAACTAATCCCTTCCTATCTATGGATGATCCACCTTAACAGCCCCTATTAGTACGTTGATGAGAGGTTTGTCTGTATATACAGACTCAATATCACCCTAAGGGGCAGTTGTGCGTGCGTGTGTGTGTGTGTGTGTGTGTGTGTGTGTGTTTTCATGCATGTATATTATTGACTTATTAATATTTTTCAGCCATCTTATAGAAAATAATTTTTTATTTAATTTTTAAAAAATAAACTTCATTGTTTTTTTTTGGTTTGTAAATAACATAGTAAAGTAAATAATTTTCAATTATGTTTTATTAAAGCAAAAAAACTATAGTGAGCCTTATCTTTTCAAAAATTAATTTAAATAAAATATAGTTAAATTCATAAAACAAATATTCAACATGACTAGTATTGGCTGTAAGTCCGTTTCTCCTAATTTTTATTTAACCAAAGTTTTTCTTTTTTTTTTTCAAATAGAACCTGACATTTAAACAATCACTTTTCAAAACTAAATTCTCAAAATATATTGCTTGCTTCTACTCTTTCAAAATAGTAATTAAATTCATTTACAGAGAGATGTTTACTAATATAATGTTTAAAAGTAAAATTTCATTTACTTAAAAAAAAAAAAAAAAAAAAAAAAAATCTAAATTTCCCTCCAAAATAAATAGTAAATCATTATTTTTCAAAGAAGTAAGGCTCACTATAGCTTTTGCTTGAAAAAAAAATGATTAAATTAAATGCATCTTAATTTAAGTTTATTTAGTTTTTTATTAATAATTTGAAAAAAGGTTAATGAACATTTATCAAAGTTTGATTTGTTTGAAAACAACATTAACAGTGTATTTATGTTGGTATTTAAATTGGAAAATAAAGTGTCTTTTTGAATAAAAATAAAGACCCATTCCAACCCCGGCACTGAGTGTGGTATGATATTGTGGTATTTTCCTAAATTTAGCTATTTTGTAAAAAAAAAAAAAAAAAAAAAAAAAAAAAAATGAAGTTTATTTTTTTTTTATAAATTGAATAAAAAAATTGTTTTCCATAAGGTGACTGAAAAATATCACTAAATTGTCAATAATAAACTATTATTCAGAGATCTGAGCAAAGTCAGGTATCCCAGCTTGTAAAATAAATAAAAGGAAGTTGAGAGATCCTTACAGGTAAATGGATAGAGTTGTGCTCAACATGGAAGGTAATCTTTTCAGGAACAACATCAAAAGTAATGTGTTCACCTTTGTAAAACGGAACCTGCAGGAAAACAAAAATAACACACAAGTCAAATAATTATCAGTTTTTGATGTCATATCAGACATATTGACGAAAAAGAAAAAAGAAAAAAAAAAAATCACTTTTAAGCAGAGAATATTTACATGTAGTAAATGCTTAAGAAAAACATCATGTTCATAATGCAAGGAATTTTATATTGTTACCTAATTTAGTAGGAAAAAGTAGCCTATATGCCATCATATACAGTAGAAAACATTAATTTTTATTTTTTTTAGTTATATCATCACCAATACCAATTAGACATGGTCCTTAGAGAAGGTGTTGAAACACAAAACAATTATTCTTTCAAATAAACTAACAATTAAAAATCTAACATTATTCAAGAACTTTCTCATTTCAGTATGACTATGATATGGCTAAATAATGACTTTCAGTATAATTAAAAGGGTCACAATTTTTTTTTAGAGAAGTAGTGTGCTAGTATATATATATATATATATATATATATTATATAAATAAATATGTTTGAAACAGTACAGAAACGTATTATGGCATAAAAAGCAAGAAATTTTGTATTATAGGCCATGATAGATTTAAAATAAAAAAACAAAAACACACACCAGTCGACCGGTTTCGTCTCCTCTCATCAGAACTGTTAACGGGGAACACAAAATATGAAGAGAAAAAAAAGAAAAAAAAAAAACGAAAGGCTGTCATGGATGACATAATGAATGGACAGAGAAAGAAAAAAAAAAATAATTTTAAAAATTATACCAACAAAGATGCTAGAAGCGCAGCACAGCAAGTCCAAGAAAACAGTCTCTTTGTTTACAAAGAGCAGGTCACCTGGACCTGATGTACAGTGTCTCCGACACCTTAAGATGGAATAATGAGTGTGCTCTGGCCAAAACGGAAAACCAGTTCACACTGAAATCCATTGCACAAGTGGGATTCTTTATAAAATGATCTGCAATCAAAGACCCATACGTGTTATGAATGGTATCGCCCAACGAAAAATTTTTATTCAGTATTATAGCAGGTAGTACTGTTTAATTCTAACGTCCAAACACTGTGTCATTCTACCTATGTAGTCGCATCCACAACTACATTTGAAATGATAAATAACAGAATTAATATTGGGGGGGAGTCGGTAGAACATCTTTACACATAGATGAAAGGACAGACTTAGTTTCTTACTAAAATCGCCAAACATGGTGGCAAATTTCATGAGTTCAACAAAAACATCTTCAGGTATGTTCGGAGGAGTCAAATCACTACGATATAACATATCACTACAAATATGGAAAAAGAAAATAAGTCTTTAATACAAAAGGAACTATACTGGTTGCAACATTACAGCAAGCCACTTTGTGACTTTATGCTGTGAAGACCCAATCATCGATAATATGGGTCTCAACCGGACACCCTCCTTATGAATCTTGGGTAATCCATACAGACGGGGACAAATAGAGCCAGAAGGTCTCAATTGCACCGCCATTTCAGAAGAAAGAATACTACTTTTTACCCATTTGACAAGACGTTTCTGAAATCGAATTTCAGAAGTCAGCGTAGAGTCACGAGTGTCAATGGAACCAAGACAATGAAACTTGGAAGGATCATTCAGTATACTTAACATTTTATTAATGTAGTCATGGCGGTCCATGAGGATAACACCCGATCCCTTATCCAGTTTTGTAATAACAAAGAATGGTTATTCTTAAGGGATCTAATAACCTTATGGTGTTCACTTCTCCATTTTGATTCAGAGAAAGAAATAGGACAACTAGCATAAGAATGAGCCAAATCATTCAATTTGGCTCGAAAGTCACTGGATTTATCAATGGACACAGGTTGAAGCTTCAAGAGTTGAGCATAAAATACTTCGAATTCAGAAAAAATATTCTCCCTACTAATAGAAGTAAAAGGGATGCTAAAGTCTAGGCCATGGGCCAGGAGAGCAAGCTCAATCTCTGAAGGAGAATAAGAGGACAAATTAACTACATTTTTTGTAGCATTTGGTTCAACCATACAGCCAAATCTCTTGGAGATAAGATGTTTTAACTTATTCTGAAAACTGCTAGCCATCTTAGAATGACAATGCGCAGATATCAGACCAACATAACGGGCAAAGTGGATCCTATCAAAATATGATAAATAATTACCTGCCATCTATATGTAAAGATGTTGTACCCCCCAATATTAATTCTGTTATTTACCATTTCAAATGTAGTTGTGGATGCGACTACATAGGTAGAACGATACAGTGTTTGGACGTTAGAATTAAACGTCACGTACCTGCTATGATACTGTATAAAAATTTTTCGTTGGGCGATACCATTTGTAACACGTAAGGGTCTTCAATTGCAGATCATTTTATAAAGAATCCCACTTGTGCAATGGATTTCAGTGTGAACTGGTTTTCCATTTTGGCCAGAGCACACTCATTATTCCATCTTAAGGTGTTGGAGACGCTGTACATCAGGTCCAGGCGACCTGCTCTTTGTAAACAAAGAGTGTTTACTTGGACTTGCTGTGCTGCACTTCTAGCATCTTTGTTGGTATAATTTTTATATATATATATATATATATATATATATATATATATATATATATTTTTTTTTTCCTGTCCAATCATTCACGTCATCCATGACTGACAGACTTTTTCTTTTTTCTCCCTTCATAATTTGTGTTCCCCGTTAACAGTTCTGATGCGAGGAGACGAAACCGGTTGACTGGTGTGTGTTTTTGTTTTTATTCTAAATCTATCATGGCCTATAAGATAAAATTTCTTGCTTATATAAATAAAAATACATTTACCTCCTCACCCTGTGTGCAGGTGAGAGAGAAAATGCTTGATAGTAGATTGCTCTGCTATCAAGCATTAAGCACTTCCCCTTACCAAGTTTTTTATTTTATTTTTTTTATTTTACTCTTAACAGGCATCTTTACTTATTATTAAAGTAAATAGCACTCATTCGGATTTATCCAAGCTGTTTCAGCCAATTTAAACCTAACATTAAGCCTATCATTGTCATTTAGCAGGCACATTGGATACTCCATAGGGAGGAGTTCAGTCAATATGCACAAACACACTCAGGTGTGTTAAAATATTCCAAAGTTCTGAATACTGATTTAAGGAAGCAAGTTACAACTTTAGCATACAACCACACACACTATATGAAGATGCAAGAAACAAGATACTGACCAAATGGTATTCGCCTGGTGACAGGGAGGGGAAAGAGAAGATACCATCTTCCCGAGATGACACATGGCAGATTGAGGCATCAACAGTTTTTAATCCTTTCACCGGAGAAGTATCACACAATGTAACATCCTGCAAAAAACAACCTATAAATAAGCATTCAAAGCAGCAGAAAAAAAAATATGAAGTTGTATCAAGGGAAATTGTTGATTGATTTATTTCAGAACATGTGAACACTTTTGGGGTTTACATTAAATAAATGAAGTCAGTTTTTAAGAAGAAATATAAAGTCTCATCAGACCTTCATGGCTAGGAACTGACATGCCACTTAGACAGCAGCACAACCCCACCCACATTCCCTCTGTATTCCATCGGCCTTAAGTTCCACTCAAACAGCTTCTTCTGCAAACCATTGCCCTATGGAACAGACTCCCTAGAGCAGGTTTCCCCACCAAACACTATAATCTTAGCCTGTCCAAGTCTAGAGTCAACTGTTATCTTCCTCTCCTATCCATATAAACAACCCCTCGTCGTAACCCTCTACTCCTACTCGCCCCCAAGCCTTGTACAGAGTGAACCTTACTGGAAGAAAAAAAAAAAAAAAAAAAAAACAGACAAAATTATAATAAACTAATACTTTTAATTTTAGCCTTTTTATATTAATTACCATCAAGAGCATTTCCATAAACTTTTTGATGTTTTCTATATTTTAAAAAAAATTGCATTTCTTTTGCTACAATTTTAAAATAATTTGAAATTAAAAAAAAAAAATGACAAGATTTATAAAATTTAAGAACTAGTGTCAACAGGTGGAAATAGTATCTTTAACCCTTTAGCATTCAACATGCTCAAATATGCCTTGTAAAATCAGCTCTCAAAATTACATTGCAGTCAAAAACTGTTTGCATGGCGTCCTGCATTATTTGTGATGATGGCAACTAATTCTTGCTATAACAATAATGTCATAGTAAATATTCCTGAAAGAGAATTAGCTGTCAAATGGAGAAAGTGATTGTACACAAGTGAATGAAACTTGAGAACAACTATTTAAAAAATGAAATTAGTTCTTTTGACAAAAGATCCTACTGGATGATTTTAAGGGGTTATTCATTGGGATTTAAGATTTGGTTGAGTTTAAGTTTTTTGGTCTTTGTGTTGACATTTTTCCAATAATGTTGAAAGCGTTTGTGGTTTTCAGTGCTTCTTAAGAGTGTCTTTGTGTGTGTCTGTCTATTTTGAGATCTTTGATTAGGTGGTTCTTGCCTCCTTGCAGATCTCTTTGGAAAGTTAATGAAAGTAGAGGCCGTAATAGAAACTTTACTTTGGTTTGCTCGGTGATTTTTGGGTGTCAGGAGAAGAAATTCTCTGTTGACGGTGACATATTTTATTCATTTTCTTGTTTTCCACTAATTTAAATGGTTTGCAGTTTGGGATTTTTTTTTTATTAGTTCAGTTTTGCATAGATTATTAGTGGACTTTGTTTTTCCTAATGTTGTTTTGATTTCTTTTATGGATGTTGGTCAGTCATCCATTCCTTCTAAAAGAGTGCTTTGTATTAATTTGATTGATTGGCATTGGCTGTATTTGATAACTTTTGGACAATATTCTAGCATTCTATATTTCTGCTAGCTTTTGTGCCCCTGGGAATTAATTGTTTCTTCTATATTTCCTTTTCTTCCTTCATAATTTCACATATTCATGCATATGCCAGGTGATCTCCACGACAGTGCATTCAATTGTTCCATTGCATTCGTCATCAGTGTGGTTCTCACATAGCTTTATTTACAGGATACCTGTATTTCTAGCATCTTAAGGTGAGGGCAGGGATATGTATTGTTTTACTTTATGAATGATGTAATCAATTTTGATTTCTTTTGGTATTTGGGCAATGCTGAAGGTGAGAGAGAGTGTGTGTGTGTGTGTGTGTGTGTGTGTGTGTGTGTGTGTGTATTAGTTTGCCATCTTTTCTTATGCTTATTCTTCTAAGTTCTATAATCCCTTGACTTTTGAGACACATTTTCATCTCAACCAATGTGCAAACTGATAGTAAGGGGCTTCTCACTTTGTCCTTGTGTGTGTTTAGTGTTTGCCACAAATACGTTTTGATTTTTATATTATGGAATGTATCCATCCTCAAAAATACTTGCTTTGTTTTCAACTGGAAGATTTCCATTTTTTTTCTTTATTGACAGTCTTTGAGATGAAACTAGAGGATACAAATCTTTCAGTGTAGAAAGTGTCCCAACCGATTCTAGCAGCAGAAATCTTAGGAATCCAGGAAAGCCTTGATAATTTTCACAATTCAAATCAATGTCAACATGTAGTTGCCCGAGTGGTTTACTATATACCATATTTTTATTCAATAAACTTCATTGTTCATGCTCCACATCCATCTCAGAGTATAATATCAGGAAGTGACAAGAGAAGGAAACCCATTAGACTTGATATGACAGAAATACACAAACAATATACTTGTGTTAATAAGAAACTGAGCACCAACAAACCATTAGCTATTCAAACAAAGTTTTAATGTCTTAGTGGTCAGGTGTTTTTATGCTTATATCACAATATTTTTGAGTTTTTTTTAACCAATTGATCCTATTAAATTGCAATGCTTCCTGACCATTTACACCTATTTATGGACTCCATATACTCCAACAATGGTGGATTATATCAGCATGATTACTCACTGCATCACTGGACCCAAGTTGTCCAGATTTGGTTTAAGGAGCATTTTGAAAACGTCCAATGGGTAATGTAGCTACCACATATGCGCAACATGAGCCCCTATGAAATGTTTATGTGATGTGTTGGAAAGGTCTAGTGACATGAAAAATCTTGGAACTACAAATATCACGAAGGAGCCATGGACAGCTATTAAGATGGCATGGGTTAACATCTCTCCAGAGGACTTTTGACCACTTGGAGGATGAATGTCATATAATGTTATTGCATGCTGCCGAGTCTGAGGATGTCCTATGCAATTCTACACACCTTGCTCATGACATTTGGCAAGTCAGTGTATATTTATAATACAAATGTCTCTCAACTCAAAACTTTTTACATAATGCTACCTTTGTCATTCAATATTTTTAAAATTTAATTTTGTTTGACTCTTACCTGAGGTTTTACAGTTTCAGAATAAAGAAGAAAATGGACACCTTTAATTGGTTCACCTTCACTGAACACACGTCCCTAGAAAAGAAAAAGGATTTATGTGAATATCAAATTTAAAGATGCAGATTTGGAAGGAGAAAAAAAAAAAAAAACTCTCACAGACTGAGATAATAAAAAAATAAAAATAAGATAGTATTTAACATTCCTTTCTAATATTATGTTTATAAACTTAAAAAGAAGCTAAATTGAAACAATGTATTTTTGATCATTCAGATAATTTTTGTCTTTTTACTTTTTTTATAGACAACATTAAGCGGGAACAAAGTGCTGGTGAAATTCACCAAGTTCAGAAGCCAGAGGGAATTAGTGTCAACAGAGACACCAACTCTGATGGAATGTATGGAAGAAGAAGAAACATCAAAGAAGGTCAGAACAGAAAGATTTAACTCTTTTTGAGTTTCTTTAGTGGTTTCATTTCTCCTTAGAAATACATCAAGGTTGTTGGTAGAACCACACCCTATTACTTCAATTCTTCAAGCATTCACTGTCATAAATACAGGATGGTAGACATTACATAACAGCCTTACATTCTTCTCTTTATTTCTCATGTTGTTTTTCAAAAAAATTTATGAAAGTGATAAACTTAAGCTAAAAACCAAGACTAATTTACCAAACATGCATCCTTTTAAAACTCCTTTACCAGATTTGAGACATGGACATTGTACACTGGTCAAGAGAGGAAGATAAATAGTTTTCACATGAGATGTTTAAGAAATATTTTAAAAATTAAATGGCAAGATGGGTTTCTGAATACAAAAGTGCTCAAAAGAGCTGGTGTTCAGTCACTATATCCCATCCAGCAATCTTGGCATCTCAGGCAACTTGGTCAAGTTGTGTGCATGGATAACTCCAGAATTGGCAAACAGATTTGTATGGGGAACAGTTTGAGGGCACACGTAACATTGGGTGACCCAAGCTTTGCTTCAAGGTCAATTGTGAAATGTCCATGATGGAATTGTCTATCAATGTTGCAAACTGGGATGTGATTACCTGGGATTGAATTGAGGTGGAAAGCTGTCGTTTTTGCAGGAGCAAAGAGCTATAAAGCGAGTAGAGTCTGGCATACCATAGAGGCTAGAGAAAGACACAGATATCCCATGTTGGATGACGCCACAGTATTCTACTACTGTGGTTGTTGTCAAAAACCGTGCCGATCATGCATTGCTTGTCTTAGCCATGAGCATTGCTGTGTTTTAAGATAACATTTTTCCACTGCTGATCATTGCCATCAATGAAAAAGGCCATTAAATATTTTTCAATCCTCCTTTAGTACCTCAATATTTAATTTCTGAAAAGTATCTTTTTTTTTTTTTTTTCTTCTTCTATCACCTGCCCAGATAAATGAATTCTTGCGCTTGTTTAATTTGCAGATTCCTAACATCATATCTTGGGCAGCCACTTATTGCTCAACAGAATGCATTGTCTCTCTTATAATCGTTAGTGTTTTCTTCTTTCTTTCATCAAGTACTTGTTTTAAATAATAAATTTCAGTTTCCCTTCTCAATCTGACAAAATATTTTCACCTGTATAGAAGAAGTTATGATTACATCCAACAATAATAAATCATAGGAAGTCTTCAATGAATTAAACACATGAGCAACAATAAAGTTCTAGAGACAGTGGCAACAAAAAGGACACTTATGCCTAACATTAGGAAGAGCCAGTTCAAATTTATAGGGTTCATAATAAGGAATGAGGACTTGGAAAATTTGATACTCACAGATAAACAGTAAGAGGAAACCAACCTGACAAGCTTGAGTGAATGGATGGTGAAGTATGGTTTGGGAGAGATGACAAAAAGACAAGTTATTAAGAGCTACAAATGACAGGAAATTGTGGAGAGCCATGATTGCAAACATCCTGAAGGGACGTGGCATACAGAGGAAGAAGAGAAAACACCACCTTATCACATTCCTCTATGTCTCTTAAATCAACAAAGGCTAACATATGATGTAGGTTGCTCTGAAAGTAACGCCTCTTATTTTAACAACAGAGCCAGAACTTTTCTATGAATAAGACAATGAATTTTATTTTTGCTTTGTTACTGTTATAGTGAAACACACCTATTCTATTGTTAATAGACTCTCCCACCTATAATAAGTAGGAGTAGTAGCAGTTTCTCAGTGACTTGGTCAGTCAGTCGATGTCGGACATTAAAGTATCAGCCACCACAACTAGATTGCTGCGTCATTAACTATTATATCAAGTTCCTAACATTTTGTACGTCGAACCTATTTAGGACCGACTTAGTGAAATACAAGCCTCTACTGTGAAACTACTCTATAACAGTTACAGATAGCAGCTGAATGATAGCCATGTTACAATAGTGTGTACAGTGTAGTGGTCAGTTATTGAATACTTCCATACAGAAGAAATTGCATTTTATGGTACTTGAATGTTTACAGAGACCAAACACTGGATATGAGCATGATTGGGCAATGCGTTTTAGTTGCAGCAATGGTGATGAGTGTGAAAAAGTGGTGCCAAGTTTTATGAACACAGTAATGCATGCAGGATCTTGTTAATTGCTGGTAAAAATGCATAGCCAATGGTAAGTGACTGTGTAGATAAAAAGAGTGTTTTGTAGCTGAGAACTTGCTCTATCCAGCAGTATTATTTAGTTCCAAACATCTATTGCAGTTTCCACTGCAATACATTTTAAGGCACTTTCAGTGTACAAAGATACAATGGAGTAATGGATAGCAGTTTGGGTTAAGTGCAAAGTTCAAATTCAAGTTGAGTTTGTTATATTCATTTATATGCAAATATCCTTGGGAAATGCATGAATTCATCTCTTCTCCCCCTTCCAGGCTATCAGCAATACAGACTGGGTCCTATAACTGAGTGGCAACTGGTCTCTGAGAAGGTCAATTCTGAATTCAAAACCTTTAACTATGCAATTGGCCAAGACTAGTGAATATGGCGCCACCCCTGAAAACATGGTCAAACAGGGAGGGATTCCTTCAAGGAGTAAATGATCTAGATCTGTTCCAGGAGCTTTTATCCCTGTTACCTTTTTTTTGCCAGTGCATTGCTTGTAGGTAGTGAAGGATGCCTGCTATAAAGTAATGGTTATCAAACTAGTAAATACAATTTTCACTGTCCCCCTCTTACAGTCTTGTAGCCAACTAAACTTACTAAATGTATAAAATGCCTTGTAGACAATTACTAGTGTAGGAAGGTCAGTCCTTGCTGAATATTCTACTAATGTGAACTTGTGTCAAATTAAAGTACAATAAATATATAATTGGATTCCTGATATAAATTTAATTTCAGTTCTACTTTCATTGGATGTTCCACTAATGTAGTCTTGCACCAGATTAACTAAACATGAACGATTTAATTCTTCATAAATATATATTTCTTCAACCGCAGAGCACCCAGTAAGACTCAAACTTACTGCCAATAGTTTGCAAGCATGTCATCATTAAACCCCATTGAATCCCATAAATTACTTACACTGACATCATATCCAGCTACAACAATGTCATTCGCAACAATTCCATTGTCCAGTGTCACAGTTACAGTGGCCTCAGGCTGAAAAATCAAAGCAAAAGAAGAAAAAATTAATAGAGTGGAGTTTTATTCCATACAACAAAAACTCCTTTGCAATACAATATCACATTTACCAAAAAGGTAAAAACAATATACATTGAGCATATTCTTTTCTCAACAGGCTCTTCTACAAAAGAATAAAAATCTTTACATTGTATATAAATTAAACTCTAGGTCACATATTATAAAACACAAATGATAGATGATAATACATTACAGGATAGTGAGCTTTTATTTATTTTTTAATCATTTTACCCCAAGCAAGGCAGTAGTGCCACTAGTATGCAGGGGATTACAGAGAGTGAAAGCAAGGAAAAAGACTTGGTATAGGGGGACTGAGGAAATGATAAAAGATAAGCGGGATTCAAGACAACAGAAGATCATGATTAACGTTACATTATGGCAACAGTATTCAATGCACGGGCAAATGGTAGTTTTGTAAATGTGCAAGATGGACTCTGATGAGAAAAACCTTCTGAAATGTTATACAATATTGAAATATGATTACTAATATGGAATACTTTGTGTAATAATCTTATATGGAATTTTTTTTTTTTTAAATTTTTTAATATAACAACTTAAATATCAGTCATCTTCAGTATAATGATAACATTATATATATTTTTAAACAAATTCCATTAAAATAAACCAACAAGGTTACATTCTTCCAGTTTGCATACAAGTTGTTACACAAATAGATCAAATTTATAAAGAAACTCTTCAAAGACCATATTAGTTTCCTAATTTGTAATTTTGTACATCTCTAGTCATTATCAAGAAAGTTAATAGGCTACAAGAAAGAAAAGTTGTCAGTTCATCCTGGTATTTTTTTAAATGTCATAATTCTAATTTCAATGTGCATGTATCAAATTCAAGTGACATCATATATTGAACAGATTGTAACTGAAATAAGTGATGTACATTTTGGATTAAAAAAAAAAAAAAAAAAAATAGTCAGTTTAGGGTCATAAAACTTAACAGAAAGTAAGAACAAAGAGGATATTAAATTTGAACACATTTTTAATTTGATTGATTATTTTAAGGCTTAACCTTCAGCAAGTTATTTAAAGCCAGAAAATATTTTTAGATTGTAAAATTTTTTTTTTTTGAGATAATAATGATTTATAGATACTAATTAACCCAAAGCTGGGGAGAGAAGAGGTAGATTCATACCTTTCTCAAAAGGTATTTGTGCATAAGTGATAGATACTGACCAGGATCAATATTTCTTAACTTCAGTGACTGTATGAGAACTGGCATTTCAACGTGATATGGCCATAAGTCTAACATATTTTAAAATACTTTTTCCTAGTTTTATTTTATTTAATCTTATGTAAACAGTCAGATTCAAAATATTTAAAGTTGTTTAAATTGGAATCATATTTCTAAAAATGCCAGTATGAAGATAATAAAAACTTTTCTCTATTTTAACTGATAACATTAATAATGACCAAAATATTATTTTTGGACAAATTAACCTCATCCTACAACAACCACATTTGCAACCTCTGCCAACATAAAAAAATTAGCAATAATGACCGTTCCGGATCCCAAAAACCTTTTGAACCAGAAATCTGAAGTCATGAGCCATTGCATACATACAAAAAAAAAAAAAAAAAAAAAAAATCCTCTTAAGGTCATATGAAGCTAATTAAAAAAAAGCATGTACATTTCAATTCCCCCCTCCTCTGCCGATACATCTATAATACCCTTGCTTTTCTTCTCCCCCCCCTTCCTTCCACACCCAACACAGTGCATTTGTTTATTTTAAAAATAAAGTGTTGGGAGGTCAACTGATAAAAATCCCTGAGAATACTGTAAGGTTGAAAGAAAGGTAGCAGAATCAACTGATCTAATTTCGAAAATTTTTATATATATATATATATATATATATATATATATATATATATATAATATATATATATATAGATTGTGTGTTTGGTAATCCACATGGATAATTCCAGGGAGGATACAATCCAGAGATATATACATACATACATACATAAACACAAAAATGTTAATATATTTAGGTGAGAAAAAAAGATTTTTTCCATATGTAAATACAATTATTATATCAGACATTATTAAGAACAATTTTAAAAAAGAGGAGGAGGGGAGGGTGTTGCTTAAAATGTCCATAATATTTAGGATTCTACAACTTTCTTAGTTGATAATTAGTGAACAAGTATTTTTCCAGACAAGGTTCAGAGTCATTTGCACTCACATCTCCAGTTCATGGACATTGGAAAAGATAGGAATAATGGGGTTGTAAAAAACAAAAAATTACCCGTTCAAACTTCCATGTGTCATGATAAGCCTTGATGATATAATCCCCTGGCATGACTTTCTTGAAATGATAACTAGAATGTAAAAAAAGCACCAATGAATAAATTATTTTCTTTTATTCTAAAAACAACTCTTTTCCATTCAAAACAAAAATATTCCATGTAAAAATTAACAATATTGAGTAAAAAGTAGTCATCAAATACAAATAACCTTAATTGAAGTTTTACCAAAAATGAATGGTCGTTACTGTAATTTTTTTTTTGTTAAAGATTTCTTCCTTTTTTTTTTTTTTTAAACCTATTCTTGTTTATTTCAATGATGTAAATTCTTAAAAATTAGTCTGGGGGAGAAGTCATAGGACAGTCAATAACAGCTCAATATTTATTATGAAAAGGACAATAGTGACTTGTCATAAGTAATAAAACTTTATTTAGCTATCTAACAGATGACCATCAATTCACATATAAAAGAATAAAAAAAAAAAAACAAAAAAAAACAATTGGTTCAAAATTGGCCAGCTTTTTCATTGCACTTAACACTTTTTTTTTTTACACATTTCTACATATATTTCCAAGAATTTGCATGCAAGAACTAATAATTATTGTATAAATGTTTTGTATTATGTAATATTATTGATTGATCAATTACTTCAGCTTCAACATGTAAGCAAACAATATCTTTTATAGATTGATGCTAGCATTAACAGTATCTTGTTCCTCTTTTTGCAAATGGATGCAAATCACCAAAATGTTCAGCATTTGTCATTCTACTTACTTTTGATTTTCTACAGATGTTGTTGTCTGTAACACTTCATCACTACCAACAGCCATCAATGACAAATGCACCCCACCAGGTCCCTTCTTTTGACCTTTACTCAAAACCTGAAGGAAAAAAAAAATAATATAAAAGATGTCTAAATAATGGCAGTAACAAAATTTTCACATCTAATGTTATTGAAATTGTTGATTCACAAATTGTGACACCATCATTCTTTATTTCTTTCCAAAATGATTTCTCAAGAAATTATCATTTGAAGTTTACAAATGCCATTAACTCTTCCGCAATGTATTCAAAATCTTTGTTTTTAGTAAAATGTTCTTCAGTCACATCATCCTTATATGTTTGTTTACACCAATGGTCAGTTTTTGTTTTTTTGACCCAATCCATGATCAGACATTCTTAAACTTATAATTCCAAACAATGAAGCCACTTATTAATGCTACAAAAATCAGATGCAATGTTCTTTGTTTATGAAACATCTTTTCTCTTTTGCTGGGATGGATAATGCTTTCAAGCCTGTCGCAGTATTTTTACTCAAATGATGATATTTATATTCAAGCTTACAGTTGGATGTCGAGAAAAATCAAACCACATCCCTGAATACATGCTGCTGCTAAAGTTGATGTAAGGTTTTCATCCCCAACAATCATATAAGCAGTTTGTGATCTATAATAAAACTTTTGACCCCACAAATGCTGGTGAAATTTACACACATAATGGATCAATAACTCAGCATCTATCAATATCAATTTTTTTTTTTTTAAAGTTACTCCTCAAACTACATCATATGCTTCTTGTAAAATAATGTATGGATTGATTAGAGTTGTTGATAAATTTAGAAGATGCTTCTTAAAGAAATTAATCATACCTAAAAATGGTTTTAGCTGATTAATGTTTATTGGAGATAAGTGCTTCATGGATGGCCTCAGCTATATCAACCAGGGCCAATATTTCATGTTTGCTTACCATGAAGCCAAAATATTTTCCTTTATCTTCTAGGAAATGATATTTGTTTTTCCAAAGTATAAACTTTTGTCTTCAAAACTCCTTCCAGATTTTAAAGATGCTCTTGGTCATTTATGGTGTTCATGTCTAGGTCATCTAGTCATACAATTGTGTAGAGAATCCCACTAAGCCTTCTTTTCCATTTGCCTTTAAAATATCCTCAATGTACCGTAGATCCCCAAACTGGAACCAAACTTGATTATATGCATTGATTTTAAGCATCTCTTGTAATGCCTTATCAAGCTTCAGGTCATGTTTAATGAATTGCTCTCTTCTATTCAATGGAAGCAAAAGGGATTTAACATAGGGTAAAAATTATAGTTTGCCCTCCCCTGGGAATTTTGAGTAATTTTATAATCTGTACATACCCTGATGATGTCATCTTCTATAAAGTCAGGGCCAATTGGTAGTTCCTAATCTGAATACTGCATTAAAACATGTCTGCTCAAGTGAATAGATTTTCTTCTTATTGGTTGTGTATCCGGCTACTCAGTCTGTATTTCATTTCTACTACATCAAGTCATTAACTCTTAATTCATATGGAACCTGTCAAGTTTTATGAAATACTGAGTCAACCTTCAATTCAATATCTGTTATAGGATTCAAATCTCTCATCAAATTTCTTTTCCATGTCAGTCACTTTCAACAAACTGAGAATGTTCACATTGAAATCATTCATTTAATTTCTACATGACAAACAACCTGTCATCTACCTTCAAATGCCTCGACCCTCTTACCAGAATAGGTTCTCATGAGAATGTATCTTGTAAATCAACATCATTCAAAATTTCCTGAAGTCTACTTCACTTTTAACAGAGTAGCTTCAGAATCAGTTTTTATATCTGTTATTTACATGAATAAACTGATCCACCTTTTGGTATTGATCAAATAATTAGTCTTTCAATTTCTAATTTCTTCACTTAAACTTCCTTTTAATCTTTACAAATTCTTGCACTATAGCCATAACACTTCATTCTTGAAACCAGACTTTCTACGTTTTCTCAATCTGCATCTGAACCAAACTTTCTGAGGAGGAGGATGATGAGGATGATGAAACCACTTTTTTCTAGTTTCTTTTCTCTATAGGACTTAAAAGGCAGGATAGTCATTGAATCTTGCTTCATGCTAAGCAATTCCTTCTTTGCACTTCTCCATATCTACAGTAATCTCACTTGTATTTGCAAAGGTTAAACCATTTCTTTTAAATTTAAATTCGTTTTGAATGTTAACATCTTGATTATTGCACACAACTCTATGATTATCTTTGATCTTGTCTCTAAAATTTCACGTTTTTGTCAATCTTCTCAGCAATGTACTCACATTTTCATTCACAGTCTTTTTGTTTTTCATGTTAAAACAACATCTTTCCATCATTTCATTTGATTAAGGATTTAATTGTCCTTTAAGAACATTTTTTCTTTCATAATCATTTAACTGCATGTCACTAAATTTAATTGGATAAATCATATTTTTTAATACATTACAGTTCTAGGCTCAGATTTGCAATTGTCTGTCTATTGACTTAAAGGACATTTGTCAAGACAAAATACTCATTTCCAGGCTGGATTTTGCACTATTTTCTTTGTTAAACCAAATCTTTAAGCTGTAATTTCACATGAATAGAGATGGTCAATCTTGAATAAGTTCATCCAAAAGCTATTTTAACTTTATTAAAATATTAGAAGTAAGAGTGCTTACCATTCCTTGAATGGAGAATCCTTTGAATTGAAAGTTGATGTCTTCTCCTAAGCTGCATTTGTCTGTAGTACCATCAATGTGTAATCGAACTAATTCTGGTTCTAGAGACAAAGAAAAAATGATTATCAACATTGCTTAATTCCAAGAATAAATGACAAAAGAAAGTCAATCTAGCATTGAACTAGAAAGCATAGGTTCAAATCATTTTTTTCTTAAAAAGCCAATTTTGTTCATTATACAATTTTACAATGTTGTATATTAATGTATGAATTTTACAGAGTAGTACCTAAGCTGAAACTGTAACACTAGGCTGTAGACAGGATCATTGTCCTAGTCACTGGTTTGGTAACATTCTAAACAAGAGACTACATCAACCATATTATGTTTAGGTAAGATCTGAAGAAGTCAAAAGTTCAGGCTCAAAATGTCACAAGCCAGCTACGTTACATAAAACTCATGTTGACAGATACTAATTACAAAGTTATCTTCAAGTTTGATTCCTTAATAAGCCCTCGACACCATTTAATTTCTCAAAACTAATTATCATAGAGTAGGGAAAATGTACACCCAAGTAAACTATTTATTTAAAGTATCACAAAACATATTTTTGAATATTTTTTTCTTCTTTTTACAGAAAATGCTTCAAAGAATAACTGAATAACTTACAGAAGTGAAAATATAATTAAATGCATAATTAAAATAATCACTAGGGCTTTATAAAGGGAAGGTGGTGTGTAGAAGAAAATTTTGAAGAAACCTGAAGTTAGAAATGTTATGGGTAAGCTACCTAAGAATACATTTTGCTAGTAGGACACTCTTTTTAAGCTCCTTAATTATGTCTACCCTCAGGTAGATTATGTTTAAATTACAAGGTGTTAGGTCAAGGCATGTGATTGTAGTGAGTTGTGAATTAAAAGGTGTGCATGTGTGGATTAATGGCAGCACTTTTCATGGGATAAATGTGCGCCTAACAATTTCTTTACTTACAGAATTAAAATAATATTTAAATAATATTTTTATTGCTTTTAGCTTAATTTCTAAATCTATAGCATACAACAAAACAAAAACTATGATAATGCTATATCTAGTTGTGAATGATATTTACTTATGTTTGTACAGATGGTATGATATTACAAGAGAAAAAAAAAAACATACCACAACAAGAAGGCAAGGCTTTATTACCCACTCCCAATGACTTACAGGGGGCAGTCAAGCATGTACAAGTCAGAGAAGAGTTCTCACCTGCAGTTGATATGGAAAAGCATGCCCCTCCTATACAAGCTTTGCTAAGTATTTGAGAGCTTGCAACAGAACCTTCCAAAATTTTGTTCACAAAGTCATAATAATATTAAAGAGGTGCTGAAAATTTCTCAGCCATATCAATATCCTAAAATCAGTATTCTGATGTTTGGCCATTGTAATACTGATTTTGGGAATTTGGTCAGGCTGTGAACTTTTCAGCACCTTATATACAAAGACAAAAATCAAAAAATCCATAGCCTGACCTGATTATTAACTAAATTTTGACCCAAAACTTTTGCTGTATGATGTTCAAATGATGTGTTATAATGTCCATCAATGAAAAATTTGCAGACTAATTTGAATAAACATGTGTTATTAAAAATAAATGCTTTTTCTTTCAGTGGGCTATGAATATATTGATTACCTATGTATGTCTATGTGTATAAATTCTGAAGGATTTTACTGCTGTTGCTTTTTAATAGAATTCTTTGTAGTTACAGTTGTAAATAACCAAAATGAGTTTGTGAAAATAGTTTTAATTTTATAAGATCATTTATTAAAAATTTAATAAATTATTGTTAGGGTAAATTCCCTTACCAAAACTCCAACCAGGTGGAGGTTCAACTTGCAAGACAAAATCCCCTTTGTCATAAAGAGGAATAAGGTAGTAGCCATTGTTTGGTGCACAGTCTGTTTGATATTTGATACTCCCTTGAACAGTGTACAACTTCATCTGAAAATAAAATATTACATAATAAGTAAGCCTTTATATATTGCAAGGCGTGTCATTATATGGCTCAACATCCTACTGGTTTATAAAAACTGCAAATTTAGTAGGTCTGCTGTAAAGCAGTGGTATGTAAGCTGCTGTGGACAAAGTAATCTTCAGTGGGTCGCTATGCTTGTGACCTTGTTCCAGACTATGCAAGGTTTAGTAAATATCCATAAAAGCTGCACAGGTAAAAGTAGACAAAAAAGGTGAATGTTAAATACAGGAAAGCATGTGATTTGAATATTAACACTTTCTACAAGAAATAAAGTTATTGTTTAAAACACCCTCAATATTACATAGAGGAGATGAACCAACATATTGAGATAGAAACAATAAAGATGATGATGCTACTCTGGAGAAAAAAAAAAAAATTGAAGCATTAAGCTCCAACTGCAATGGGAATATTATTGTTTTTTTTATTTATTTATTATTATTTATATTGTTTGGACGGTTGTCCTCATCTTTATTGCCATATTCAAAATGTTTTGGCCATTACACACTCCAGTCTTCTTCATGAATAGAGCAATAAAGATGAGGACAACCGTCCGAATAATGTAAATAATTACAATACCTCATCTCAGAAATATATGCAGATATTATTATAATAATATTTGGTGCCACATTATTGTAGCTTAATCCAAGATCTAAATCTACCTGTTGAAAATATACCTGTATCTAAATCTACCTGTTGAAAATATACCTGTATCTAAATCTACCTGTTGATTAATAAACAGGCAAAGAAATAACACTGGATATTTCTAATGTTTAATATTTACAAGTTTTGCATACAATTATTTGATGGACATGAAATTTGATTCAGAGTTTATTTCTCAGGTTATTCTTCTTTGGCATTGGTTCATCTAACTTGGCTTTGTGACCATGAAGGTCAGATAATTTTTATTTTGACCTTTATAATCACTGAGTCAGATAAGACATGCTCTCTCCCAAAGTCACTCAATTGAATCCAGATTTATCACAAACAATCTAATAACAATGTTTCTCGTGCAGCATCTCAAAATGTGTTCCTGTTAAGTTTGTAGAATCAGTTTCCTCACCATTTCTTGATTTGATGCTAAACAACAAAATAAAGAGTTGACATTCTATAACAACATTTTTATATATTACTGTATTTTACTTAATGTCTTTATTTACCACAGATATACAGTGTTATTCAAAAAGAATGAACTGATTTCATAATGCATTACTTCAGTTCTCAAGCATCGTAATGGAATGAGTCAGTGACCATTTGAAAGAGGAGTTTTCTAAATTTTGAATGGCTGCCACATGAGCGCTGTAGATACATCATATGTCTGGCAACATTCAGTTGTTTGTTTACCCCCAGAATGGCAAGTCCTCAGCAAAAGGTGTTCTGTGTTCTCAAGCTTGTGAAAACAAATACAGTTGTCAAGGTGCAGCCTGCTTTTCCAAGGTAATTTGACATTAAGCCACCCTCTCCTAAGAACATTTGACAGTGGTTTAAACAGAGAGTGGGGGTCTGTGTAAAGGAAAAAGTCCAGGATGGCCACAAGTTCCTGAGGAACAAGGAGCAAGAATCCATGCTGCATTTGAGGAGAGTCCACAAATCAAACTAGCCGTGAGCTTGCGATCTCTCAATCCACTATCTGACATGTGCTAAGAAGACGTCTACATTTGAAACCTTACAGACTACACCTAGTTTAGGTACATACCAAGACCTTTCACTTTGTGTGTGGCCTGCAAGATCCCCGGACCACACCATGGTCTTTTTCTTGTGGGGATACATAAAAGATTGTGTGTGTTCCACCGCTACCCACTAACCTCAACATTAAACATCGAATAACAACAGCGACCAACTCAGTGGATCATGATATGCTGATATGCGTCTGGGAGGAATTCTCTTATCGCATTAATGTTGCCCATGCTGCAAGTGGTGGACACATTGAACACTTGCAAGACGGGAAATAAAAGTTGATTGTGAGTAGAATACTTGTGACTTGATTGGAGTTTTCTATTGCTTTTCCTTATTAAAATATTGTGTAATGAAATTGGTTCATTTTTTTTTTTTTTTTTAAATAAGCCTGTATATGTATGAATAAAATAAAATTATCAGAAAAATTCTAAGCACCTCTTACTGGTTGAAATGAGTTTGGCTGAAATGGCAGCTGAAAACCAATATTCACAATAAATATGAAAAGAAGTAAAATTTAGGCAGTTTGTTGAGTATATTAGTCATCAGTGGATCACATTCAAGGCCAAGTAGAAGCCAGGGTTTTAAATACCTATTTAAAAAGGCAAATAAGATCACTATTTGGAAGATTGGCACAGTACAATCTTCCTATCCCAAATTGTCTCTGTGCTGTATTAATCTGAACTCAGTAAATACTAATTGCCAAATCTGATTACTTTATTGTAGTGTTTGTTTATATTTTAAATGATAAAAAGCAGATATCAATTATTAAAACAAGGTTTCACTTCACTACTGAGACTGTCTTTTTTGTTTTTTAATAAAATCTAAAATTTGATTAACATATACTTAAATAGGTAAATAGCCCTGATCTTAATCTCAGGTTTAAAAATCAGCTTTATTCGAATGGTAACAATTGGAGGATTTAGCAAATTGATTTTTTTTCTTTTTATTCATGTGAGAGTTTGAAAGGTCAGGCAGATTGCTTTTGGTTCTACTCTTAAAATCTCAATATAAACAAACATTTTAAAAGTGTCAATGGCAAGGATTTAATAGCACAAAATTATATATTTTGATATGACTGAACAATTATTTATTGAATTCTCTGATGAACTATTGATACAATTCAAGATTACTCCCCCTCCTCCTCTAGCATCCTTATATTTATTGGTTGTATTTATTTTTACAGTAAGTTCACCCTATACAAAGCCCAGGGGCCACATTAAGAGGCAGTTTATGCATATAGGAAAAGAAGATAATGGTTAATCCTAGACTTGAACAGGTTAAGATTGTAGTAATTGGGGAAACATCCTCTTGGGAGATGGCTCCACAGAGCAATTGTTCATGAGATGACATTCTCATCAATGAAACACAACGGGAATGGGGGGGGGGTTGCTACAATGTGAATGACATAGGGAGTCCTAGTTGTGAAGTTTAGAACTGACAGAACCAAAGAATATAGTTCATCTGAGCACTTTCCATGAAACTAGCAATAGAGCAGTAAGAGGCTTGCCACATCACACCTGAGATAGAGAGATGTTGGCGGGTGGAAAATAATTTGTCACCCACAAGGACTCTGTGACACTTTTAGATTATTGTGACTGGAGAGTGAGAATTGGGAAACTCCTGCCCAAATATGACAACATACTCCATTTTAGACCTGGTTCTTGTAAAGGTAGAAACCACTGTAATTGTTGGTTTTCTTTCAAGAGATGTTACTGAAAATCAGTGGCAATTTTGAATTGGCTACAGTATATGAATGCTAAGGTGTTATAGATATAACATTTTCAGTTTTAGGACATTTTCTGCTATAGTACTATTCATACCAGTGGTCTATCTGAGTCGCAGAGTTAGACAATGAAACAACAAATATTCACATAAATTCTTTTTGTTCAATTCAAGCTGTTTGAATGTGTTTGGAGTGTGGACCTTTGAGAGGCTGGATGGTAATTTCATTTGGATGTAACACATCAAAGTGCTTTGAAATTGACAACAATGGTAAATGAACATTCCTATACCTGTAGACCAGGTTCTGGACAACTATTTAGGCAAATCACTTGCCCATTATAATGGTAGATCACATAGTGACCTTAGTACAAATCAGTGCTGTAACCTCAGAATCATCTTGCACCTTTCTAACAGAGTAAGAAGAACATCTCTTGGAGGTAATTGAATGACATTCTCTCATGCTAAGTGTTCAGAGCAGTCTCTGCCTTCATGCAAATGATGATCATTTGCATCTGTAACATAGATGTAGGGATTAACATCTTCCAGACAATATTCACTACAACACAGGCACAACCTCTGGCATAATAGTGAGGGATACCAAAAGTTAGAAGTCTTCTTTGGTGCTTGTGGAGAAAGTGTTGAACAACACCATTTACATCTAGAACATTGTTCAACCTGTTCTAAAGTTATTCCTGCAATAGGAAGACAATGTGGCGTTCCAGCAGGATAATGGTCATCTATATTTTTCAGCCGCCTTGTATTTTTTGAAGGGGTTATCAAGTGTGAAAGAATATGAAAAAAAAAAAAAAGAAAAAAAAAAAAGGAAAATATTAAGGAGAGATAATAAAAGAACAGGAAATAAGTACACAGAAGATATGATTAATGCTGCATTCAAATTTTTGAAGATCAAACTTGACTGGAAAGCAAGAAACCAGAAAAGAATTCCACAGGCAAGAAGTGCAGAAGAAACTGTTAGCATAAAACTTACAGTTATATCTAGCCATTTCAATTGTCTTTTGATACATGACCGATGAGGCAATTTTTTTACCCACAGTAGGTTGCCATTTCTTTCTGTGGTAGACTGGTTACCAACCAAGGTTAAAAGAACCCAGTCTGTCCTGCTATTCAAGGGAGAAGCAGTGGATTCATACCTTTCCCAAGTGAATTTAACAAACTGAAATTCAAACTTGGCTTGAATGGCCTCAAAACTATTTTTTATTTTTACAAATGTGCTAACAAGGAATAATCAAACAAGAAGAATAACATTCAAGAAGAAAAGTTGCATAAGTAAATCAAATTTATACCAACAACAATTGTCTAGACAGTAATTCAGTTGTGTTTGAAATACTGAAATTTACTTGTCCTTAGAATTTTTAGTAAGGAAAATGTTCCTGATGATAAACTGTAAATGTGTAAGTTTGGAGAACTTTAGTAAGATGTATTGTTACTTGTAAGAGAATTAAACAGTTTGTTACTCACAATGTTATGCTAAGTGTTTCTGTAGGTGAGAGTTCAATGTTTAAATATAGCAGGAGTTATTTACCTTTAACTGCTCATTGATTTGCTTAAGGTGAGTTCAAAGAAATTTGTTAAGTGAGAGAAAATTGTAGTCTTCATTTGAAAATTGAGAAGTTGTATTTGGTACCAAAAATGTAGTTTTTTTTAGCTTAACACTTGCTCTGGTGGCGTGCTGTTTGCTGATGAAAATCTCACTGTTAGAAGTTGATAAGTTTCTGTGTCCTTGTAGAAACAGTTTCAAGATGAAAGAGTAAATGTTCATAGATGTTTGTAGATGTGCATACGTATATGTGTGTATGTTCTGAAGTTCCGTAGCATTTTCCCCTAAAGGAACAAACATGACCTTTCTCCTGAGCTACATTGCTGTGGGTCTGAGAAGGCAAGAAACAAGAAAGAGTGAAGATGTGTCCAAGTATTTATAATTAATATGAATCACGTGATAGGCTCCAAAATGCTTGGCACAATTTGTATTTCAACTCGGGTCAGAAAATAGGTTGACTCAAATCGGACGTAGTTGAGAACAGGTGAATTTTTTTTTTAATATTTGTTAACCAATCAGAAATCAGACATAAATAGAATCCACTTTTTGCACAGAATTTTGCCATCAAAAGAAACTATTACATAGAAAACGCATTGAAATCTTTTTTGACCAACAGTATTTGCTGAATCAAAAATAATAATAATAATACAATCAAGTGTTAGCAGAATGGTAAAGGCTCTCAGAGTTCTCACTCCAAGCCAATATCCATTACACCACAACACCACTCTAGTACTGCGCTTAAATTCATAGAGTCTAGGTACCAAAGATGAAAGCTCATAAGAATAATTACCATGAAAGTATTTACAAAAGAAACAGGAATGATATGTTACTGTGGTATCGTCCATGTGCCTTTTCTATAAGCGCAAAAGAAAATTATATTTGCAAAACAAGGTTCAAATTCTGGGTGAGGATTCAAATAAGATATCATCAAAATGAGCATGACAATGTTACGACAGGATAAGCGGACAAAGAAAAGAGAGGGTTAAAAACTAATACTCTCATAACAACATTACCAACCAACCAAGTCATAAAATTCAATACAGAGTTGTCCTTCTAGAGACTGATTGCTAACCAAAGAAGTCCAGTCTTCCTCATTACTTGTTTTTGTTTTAGCATGTATCTATAGCCGAGGAAGAAAGGGATTCATGCCTTTCCCAAAAGCATTTAGTGTGAAGTGAATTCAACAGAGCCGAAATTAGTTTGCAGTTTCCATTTTTTGATTTGATAACCGTTATGCCACATTAAAAAAAAAAAAAAAACATAAATAAAAAAAAAACTTTAGAAATCATTTTCTTTTCTTGAAACTTAGTACTCAAAAATAAATGTAAGTTTTGCTTCTTTTTTCTTTAACGTTTATTATATAACACTAACAGTAACATATAGTCTTTTAATAATTAAAATTTAATTTAAACAATTATTGAAGTGAACAAACACGTAATTTATTTGATAAAATTAAATTAAGTTTATTCAAGCCTTTAAAAATTGATTTAATTAAAGAAAGTTAAAATTATTTTTTTTATTTCAGGTCCGGGATCTGAATACATTTCAAATTTATTTATCAATGAAATTAAGATTTTACCTTTTATTTTATTTAATTTTTAGCATCAGAAAGCAACGAAATGTTTTTAACGGCAGCAGAAACCAGCTGATGAACAGATTGGCTTATGACAGCAGCATGGCCATGTGTCTCTCAATCCACTTTACGACGTAGTAACAAGAAATTACCAAATAAAACATTTTTATTTAAATGCTTCTAATAAAAGTAAAACTGTATTTTCTGCTTCCACCAAAAAATTAATCTTTTTTGCAACAATTAAGCAAACGACAATAATTAGAAGAAAAAAAAAAAATGTTGTCAAAAGTTTTATTTTTTAAATTAAAAGCAAAATAAATCACGTTTTTTTAGTTTCATTCTGGCAAAAGAAGGAAAATCTGTTGGAATGTTTTATTTCAGGAAAAAGATGAAAACAAAAAATTAATTCCAAGGTGAAAAAAAAGTCATATTGCGAAATAAGGGGAGAAAAAAAAGAAGGGAGACTGGAAAAAAGTTTATGCCAAGTCATCAGAGAAAAAAATAATATACTTACCTCCACTAATGAAAAATTAATCTCTACGTCTGATTTAACGAAACCTCCACAACCCAACACGCCATCGCTAACAGTTGTGTGGATATTGGCAACAAATAAAACAAACCCCAAAAGCTGAGACCACATTTTTTGTGAAGGGTCCATCTCGACATGAAAAAAATTGATTTGTCTCCGACGAGGAAAAAAAAAAAGAAATACCGGCCAATTAGCGCCCTCTAGTAACAAGCCATCGAGTTATCTCCCTTTAAACATGTGATGATTTTTAAAAGGCAAAAATGTCGCGTGTTTTATGTGTATCGATTGCTCTAAAATACCGTTGCAATCGTCAGATCATTGCTACGTACTTGTCAAGTATTGTGGCCCGTGCTGAAATTTGTGACGTCATGGAAATACGCGAAGATTTTCACAACCCCGCAGTCAAGAAAATGAAAGTTTTCCTTCTTTTTTTAACCCTGTCAGTGCCTAAAGCCCAATTTTTTTGATGGAGCAATCTTTTTTATTTTTTATTTTAATAACTTACACTATTTACCACTATTTATCCACTGGATAAAGGCGTTGGTTAGATCCAGTGACAGGAACCAAAGCGTTGTGAGTTCAATACCTGGTTAAGGCAGTGGAGAACTTGGAGAGGTGAATTATTAACAATTAACGCTGGGTGAGATAACTGATAATAACACATGGTGTAGAATGTTGATTAGAACGTCAGGTTGACCAATTGTAGAATGTATTGCTTCTTGCTTGAGTATTGTGGTCACCAATGTTGAATGGGTTCCGTTAAATAGATAATAATGTTTTGAGAAGGTTTCATACATAATATTTAAAACATCAAGGAAAAAAAGGAAAAACCAATGAGAACCAATTTTGTTTAACGAAGAAATATAAATTAAATTCAACAATAATACAAAGTAGTTGAATACGAGTGAAAAAGGAAAAAAAGTAGCTACTAGGGAAATGTCTTAAAGAAGATTTGTCTGAGTAAAATGTTCAGAGTTCAGTGTTGAAAATAGAATATTTCTTTCAGAAAATTGTTCAGTTGTTTGCAACTTACAGAGTTGATTTAACTTGGTGTGTCTACTGAGAACTGGTAGTGTATCAAATAAAGTTCTGTATTGTGTATGTACGTGCGGAAACTAAACTACTACTACTGGTTTTTGGAATGCATCCAATATTTATACTACCTAGGAAGAATAACATTTTGAAATACAAAAAATATCCGATTAGGGAAAATAGACCAATCAGCGATTTTCTAGCAAAGCTTGTTTTTGAACAAAGTGTAGGAACAAATTTACTATGGTGGAATGTGAATAAATTGTCCTGTTATTTTTTTATTTATTTATTGACCAATTAGAATTGAAAAATGTGGTATTTAAACAATGGAACTAGACAGTCTAACCAATTTGACATTCTAACAAACAGAAGAAGGCCAGAGCATACAACAGAAACGTTGATAAATATGGCAACAAAGATATATCCGGTTTATGCAACATCTCAGAAATATAGACAAATTCAATAACTTAATTTTTTGTTTGTTCCCCATTACAAATTCTTTGCATGTTTTTACCTTTCAGCATGAAGAACAAAATATGACATGAATTTTTCTCCCCAGGAGCTCTTTTTTACAGGAGAACATTATGAGAAGTCTAATTGATTTCAGGTGATTTAAGAAAACTATAATGAAGGAAGAATAAACAAAAATAGGAAGATTGTGTTGCACCAAAATTCAATGTAAAGGTTATATTTTCTTTGAAAAATCAACATTTAAAGTTTGAAGTAGACTCAACCATGATCTCTGAACTGAGGCTAAGGTAATGGTTTATGCAACAATATAAGCAAAAGAAAACAAACTTACCTTCCATGAATTTTTCTTCTTTTTTATTCTAAGAGAAAACTGGATTTAGCTTATCTTATTTTATCTTAATTATCTTTAATTTATCTTAGATTTGAAAATGACTGTCATATTGACAAGTTTCCCTACATATTTACAGTCTGTATTATTCTCAGGATGATGGAATTGTAATGTTCATCTGAGACAGTTGATAATATCCTCACTGAGTATCTCTCAGATTAGCTTTGATTTCAGTATTAACCACAAAGAGGGGTTAGTTCACTCGGACAAAACTGATAAAGATGGACATTTCTGTTGCCTGCAAACTGACACAGATCATTGATGAATCCATCCATGTTCCTGATGCAACATGACATCAGGCAAAACTCCTTGACCTCTTCCTCACATTCTGCCCTGAAAAATGTTTCATTGATGTTCCCCCTCCAGACACTTCAAATCAGATACTTCTCAATGTAGAAGTTGATGCCAAACTAAAGACATCCCCTGATGTGCCAGTCTGTAAAATTAATTTCGGTTACCTGAAAGCTGATTGGGACAGTTTCAGATCTTACATCACAGAAACTTCTCTTTCAGCCTTCTTCAAACATACTGATTCCAAAACTGCTGCCCTATTCTTAGAATGGATCCTTGTAGGAAATTCAGTCATTCAGGTTTTGTTATATGAATTCCAAGCAATAATAAAATTAAAATAAAGAAAGCATGCTTATAACTGTTAAATAATTTGTATTTACAAACATATTTACATGAATTCAAAAGAGTTAAAATATATTAAAAATAGTGATTAGTTGAGTTAAAGTATTTGGGTAGTTGGTTCATGGAAAAAACTGTAGAAAAGACTTTTAAATAATTTACAGAAAAAGTCTGTGGTTGAAAAAAGACTTTTATCATTAGTGAAGATTCACTGACTATCTTTGTTGTTGTTGAAGATGATGCATTTGAAGTCACTGGCACATGTTTCTTCCAGTATGCATTGGGGAAAGAAAAAGCTATGTAGTCACATCTTTCCTTGTATTTGAATGGCTCAGAGAGTCATATCTCTCCTTCTGAAAGTCAAAATCTGTGGGGTTTTATAAAAAAATTTTTCCTAAAATAGGCTAAAAAAATAGAGTTTTAGTTTTCTCTGATTGGTTAAGTATTTCATATGATGATAATTTCTAACCAATAGAGACTTTGATTTTAACAGTGTATGTAATGTGGAATCTTTTAGGCATGTTTGTAATATTGTGTGTTATTGGATAGACAATAAATTTTAGGTGTGTTTTAATATGGTGTATGTATGGGTATGTAGTTGTGTTGGGAATAGGGTTTATTTCCTATATCGTTATGGAGAGTTTTATACACCAGAAAAATTTCCAGCAAAGACCGAACAGCCAGCTCGGGTTCACCACTGAATGTGCTGCAGCCATAGCTCACTGTAACCACTACTACAGAGGGAATGGGGTAATAGGATACTTACTACATTCAAAACTGCCTGTAATCATTGCAAAAGAATTTGAGAAATGCACATGTAGTTCAAAAACAAACAATTTGGATCCTGAGAATTCTGGAAGGTCTCTGACCAAATTCTGAATATAGGTGTAAGGATACAAAAGGTGATTATTTCACTTTGGTTGAGATAGTCATGTGACACATGTGGCAGTTGCTTAATGATGTCACTCCATACAGTGATGAAAGAGGTAGTCAATTTCGTTTGTTTACAGCAGCCAAACCAAACAGTTGCTTTTTCAGCCTAGGCCAAGGGACCCAGGATGAGGCTAAATATACCTCCTCCAACAAATGCTACAGTTAACAAATCCATGGTAACGTTTCCTTTTGGGAATATATCTTCCCCAGATATAGAAGAAATTCTGGCTTGCAGTCCTCAGTTAAGGAAAACCCAAGACTCACCATTTCCCATTCATGGAATATGTCCTTGTCTGTGACATAGTAGATGAATCCATCCTGTTTGAATCTGGCATCCTAAACATGGCTTCTCCAGAAACACAGAAGATTCTCCATATTATATGTAAGATCCTATCTTTTTGTTCTCCTTACACTCGGCTTGCTGTGTAGGTATATGTTATTTTGTTCTCTGATGAGGGACATGTATAAATATGTATATATATATATATATATATATATATATATATATATATATGTCTTAGTGGTATAAAGATCTCTCTGAGAACAAAGTCTATTTGTTAATATGGTGTTATTATATCATGGATATAATGATGCCCATAATGGCGGGGAATACAAATAGGAGAATAAAACCTTCTTCCATAGTTATATTGGTGACCACAACACAGTATTATTTACCTGACATGTAATATTATCATCATCCATTAGAGGCAAAGTGTCAATGTCTATTATTATAAATAGCTCTGAGGGCATTATCATCCTCATCAGATAAGGCAAAGCTTTTCATCATCATCTTTGTCTCTAACTCAATGGTAGATGATAAAGGCCATCCCAATCATGACATCCTCTGTCTCACTAAGCACACTCTCAATAATATTTTTATCACAGCCTGGGAAGTCTCAAGACAGTCTTGAACCAAATAAGGCTATAGGCTCAGATAAAATCCCAGTACTGGTATGGTAATATTAGCCGTTTCCCTCCAAACAAACATTTACCATTCATTGACCGAGCAGCCAGTACTGCTTATGGTTGAACTTTATAAAATCTTTCTCTTAAAACACTTTTTTAGGAAAATAGGTTTCACAAGTCTAGTAGTTCTTGTTGCCCTTTCCAGTATTGATGAAGGACTTCCTTTTATTTGAAGTAAATGTTAACAACTTGATTATACCATTATTTTCTCTTTGAGTTACATGTGCTATTAATTTTAGTTGTTGCTGCTGTTGGTAGTCCTCAAATGATGTAGTTTCTGCTATTTGCTACAGTTCTTGGGGATTCTGTAATACCAATTCACAATATTCAAAGAAGGATGATCTTTACCAAGACCCTCGAACTTCAGTTGTTCAAAGTCTTTTTTCACCATTAATCTTAGGAAACAGTTATATACAGCTGACAGTTTACATATATTTGAATGAGTTTAGCACCATGCATGGGCAACTATATGACAATCTCAATCTGATAAGGCCACTGAAGGACACAACTCAAGATTTCATGTTGATGCTTTGGTTCTGTAGCATTTTGCAGCATTTGGCAAAACTACTTCTAGTGTAACCTATTCTATGTTCAATTTCCTCTTCTCCAGTACGTAATTTGTTATAACTGATCCATTTGTTGAGGTATCTGAAGTGTTTAATATTTACTAATTCCACATCCTGAATTTTTA